GTATTCTAGCAGACATGGATTTTAGAACAAAGAATTGATAGTTATTGAATAAAATGAAAGCTAGGTGTTATAACAGTTTAATATTATTAACAAATGTATTTTCCTAAGTCCATTCAAGTTAATGAATTTGTAGTTTGTGGAGGATTTTGGGTTGAATATCTGGACATGAATGCTTTAGAGCCATAAGAAATTTGTGATTTGTTTTTTGCCCAGCCATCTTTTCAAGTAAATTTTATTCTTGTGAGGCTTTAGGAGCTGGCATTCGGACAAATTATGTATAAAGCAGAGATATGCTAATGTATAATGGCTTTTATCATAGATTGTGATTTCTGGAGTGAATTTATGATTAGTGTTATAACATCAAATGCATTATTGTCTTTGTTTTAGATGTGGCCAGAGCCCAGAGTCAGCCACTTCTCTGCTGGTTTAGTTATACAATTCCACTATCCAATTTTTAGATTGACTATCAAAACTATATTGGAAGAATTATGAGCAACTAGTTTGGTCATTGCAGGTTCTAAATTGCCATGAGTCTGCCATTTACATTTTAGCACCTGTGAGATATGCCACTGTCTATGGTTGCTCGGATGCTACTGTTGTTCTTGGAGCAGTTGGCAAGGTAATAGCAAGTAGTAACCGCATGCAATGCTTTTAAGAGGAGCATAATGGGTTGGAATATCTGTGAAAAGTGTTTTCTAACAGAAATGTGGAAAATGATATGTTACCTTGTCCCTGATTAGGTCTGGTAACTTAATGAAAATTGTTTTAAAAATTGATATAAAGACTTGGTAAGAAAGTAAACAATTGTTTTTTTAGACCAAAGGCTGAAGGATCAACTAATATGAGTGATAACTAAACAGCTGGAATGTATCCACACAGAGAGAGAGAGAGAGAGAGAGAGAGAGAGAGCTCTTTGATATGGAATTTGAAGCCCTGCTCCCCGAAGAGAAATAAGCAAGTTAATGAATAGGAATTGTCACATTTATTTTTCTCTCCCTCATTTTTCTATTGGAAGAAGCTCTTTACAAATAGAATCATTGGCTGTTTAGCTGACTGCTCTCTTTTTAAGATTACCTTTTCTTTTGTAGCTAGCAAACACGTTAATGTTAGAATACTTATCACTCTAACTGATAGCATGTGCATGACGTCAATGTCTGGTAACCAACTTAATAGTTTAATGGCATCTTGCTGATTAGTTGCTCTTCATACACATTAAACTAGTGGTGGTCTTGGTTACCGAGATGGAAGTTGATGTTGAATGTTTGCTTTTCTTGACAGGCTGTTAGAGTAGAACACTGTGAACGAGTTCATGTGATTGTAGCAGCTAAACGTATATGTATTGCAAATTGTCGTGAATGTGTTTTCTTTTTGGGAGTGAACCAGCAACCTCTTATTGTTGGTGATAACCATAAGCTGCAGGTGAGGTTCTTTTGCTCTTGCTTGAATAAGGAAATTGCTCATCAATTGGTCTTGGAGTTTTTTGTTTTGTATGGTTGTGATCATTGTTTCTGCAATTTTCAACTTACCCAGGCTCAAATTTAATGCCCCTTTGGAGAATATAAGTTAATCAATACATTGATATATCAATATCAATATAATAAAATCTAGAGAAAGTTGCACTATTCATAAGCCATGAATATAGTGTAGGTGTAGCTTACTTTATTTTCTCTGATATATCCTGGAGAAGTGGAAATGCTTATGCTTCTCAGTTCTTGAGTATTTTTAACTTGTCTCTTTTGGTTTATTTCACTTCACTCTGTTTCCCTTTTGTTGGTACATGCATGTTCCAGTGCAAGGGGTCAGGTTTTGGCTCATGTTCTTTATTAATGTATTCTAGAGCTGGGAAGCTTGCGATTCTTTCAATTATTGTTAAATTCCACCAAAGATTTTGATTGTTGATGTTACAACACAGACTACCCAGTGCACCAATTGTCTATCACATATATGTTAATTATAAGGTTTGATGATAATAGACGAAAAGAAGGTATGAGGTTAACTCCACCACTGCAGGATTAAGCTCAAACTAATGAAGTGGGTAAAAGTCTTGCTAGATTAGTACATTGATGAAGCTCTACAAGTGAGCATTTGAGTTTATTCAAATTGTTCTAGAAGTTGGTTAGCTGAACATTTCTTTTGATGAGTAGTTTGCTACAAATACAGCTCATAGTTCTTGTGGCCCTTTAAATAAGTTAGCATTTTCTGTTGAAAATCTGCTGCTTCTAGAGGCATTAACTTCTTATCGTGCAAGCATATTCTTCTTTAGAGTTCTTCTCAATTCGATTTTCGGTTTGAAATTACTCTCTCTTGTGATGTTCTCAGGTGGCACCCTACAATACATTTTATTCCCAGTTAGAGGAGCACATGGCTGAAGCTGGAATTCTGCCTACGGTAAACAGGTGGGATGAACCTGTGGCATTGGGCGCAGTTGATCTTCATGATTCATTATCTCATCCAGCTGGTGTCTCTGATGTTCAAGCTGAGTCAGCTACTCGAGTAGATCCTGATCAGTTCACTGATTTTGTGGTATACCTTCCTATCTTTTATAGTGACTTGAAGGAAAATTGAAGATTTTATCTTAGTTCTGTCATGTTTTGTGGATTTTCGAATGTTGATTCATGCATGTTCTTGCTTTAAGAATATATTATTTTCACTGCTTCAAATTGAACTTTGTGGGTCAATTTCTTGTTTGAGAAAATAAAAAATGGGGGTGGAATCTCCATTTATTTTGGAAGCATGTTCATTTTATCCTCTTCATATGCTTCTTTTCAACCACGTTGATTGCAGATTCCGAGCTGGCTTGGAGGAGAGTTGACTGGGTCTACAAAACACAACCCATTCACATTACCAGATGCTTATATGGCTTCGCAGCTTAGAAATGTATGTAAACTGAGCTAGTTGGTGATGTTTTAGTGATTGCATTTTGAAACCTTTTGTGTTCAAATATTGAAGAATCACACTCAAGTGGATTAGTTGTTTCTATTAATTTTTGTTTGTTTGGGTCTTTTCTCCAGCAAAAGAATTTAGCGGGGATAAGGCAACTCTTGCGGGAAGCACCCCTTGAAGAAAATCGTAAAAGAGAATTATCATCCGCACTCCATGTTTGCTTCAAGGACTGGTTATATGGTGATGGTTATTCCTGTTTAATTTATTTATTTCATTCCAACATTTTCAAACTTCAAGCATTTTTTTTTTGGGGATAAACTTGCTTGAAAATGCAACTCTCAGGCAAACTGTGTTGATGTGGAACTTGCCCTGATCTTTGCCTGTGTTTCTTTGAGTCAAATTGAACTCTTGACTATATCCATCTGCTCTTCCAAGTATAGTTTGTAATAAAATCATACCTCAGGAAAATTTGTTCTGCTATAAAATCATTAGCTTAACTTTAGCAGTGATTATTGTACCTTATATCGAGTCATCATTTTCATTTTATGCAATTAGGGAACCTTTGGATTTGTTCTTGAATTTAAATTGAAGTTGGAGCGAGAGTGAGAATCACTTGCCACACTTGGTTGTTTTCGAGTGATGTTTATATTTTATGACAGCCTAGGTCACAAATAAATCATCAAGAGTTTTTCCTAATGTTAACATGTTACATAACTGGTTAGAAGACAATTTGGTGCCTGTACTTTCTGACATTAAGTACGAAAATTGACTTGGCTTCTAATCACAAGGCTCTTGATTGAACAGTGTACCTCTTCTGTCTTTTGGCCTTTTGTTAAGCTTGGAGTTTGAAATAATACTGTTTTGGAGCAAGCTTGTCTGAATAATACTGCCCTTGTGCATTTATCATTATCAGATGTAGATGATATCGCCTGTTAATCATAGGTTTACTAGTTTATTTCATTGAACGTTCTTTCTTGGGGAACTGGCCATACTCTGATAGATGTAATTCCTTGAACATTTTCTGTTCTGGCAGCATCTGGAAACATTCGGCAACTCTACTGTCTGCAAGGCGAATGATCTTTGTAAGGCAACGCCATGACAGTTGGTGATGGTACAGGAAGAAAATTTGTAGTTTCGTTTTTGAGCTTCCTTTGAAATTGCTCTTGCCAATTATGTTGGCCCTAAAGTTAGCTGAGATGAGATGACGTGGATTAGAATACCCACCTATTTATGCGTCGACACCGGTGCACATAATGGAATCAGAAATACAATTCGCTAGTCTGATTGTAATTTTTTTGGGGCTTGTGATAATAATCACTGTAACATTTTGTTAGCCTAAATTAATGGCCTTGTGAAAATTTTCACCACCCTTTCCAATATTTAGTGTTACGCATGTTCTTCACGGAAAATTTTGCATTTTGATTCAAGACTTAAAGTCTTGCGCACAACTGGAATTCAATGTGAAACATGGCTTGCTCTTTGCTGGATTGTAGTGCCTGGGGCCGGATTGAAGATCGCGTGTGCCGTGTGCCGTGTGCGTGCTTATTATGTCAGCCGGATTGTAGTGCTTCTGTGAAAATTTCAACTATACTTAGAGTTTAGATTTTATATTACTATTAACTTAACAGTTGCTGCCTTTGTATTCCATGTAAATATTAAATTTTAAAATATAAGTATTTTGATTCTTACAGGTGATAAAAGCTCTGTAGAAAACTAACCACTTTCCGTGATGAAAAGTGTAATTGCAACGTTATTCTATGCTGATAAAGTGCACTGCAGGACCTACTTAATGGATGTAATCTCTTGAGTAATGTCTGCATTTATTCAGTAAAAAAGAAAAAGTGCACTGCGGGTTCATTATTCATTTAGACCTCGCCATATTTGTCTGCCAAAGGATCTGATCAAATGTGATTCAGTTTTACATGGACTGAAAAATATAGTTATATATAATATATATATATATATATATATATAAGAAGAAGGGTTATAGCCATTGAAGCATGATGTTTTAAGTTTGAGTTTCTATGAATGTAGAAAATATTTTGAGAATGTTACTTTCAATTAAATTTAACAATACTTAAATCTAACTCAGTTAAATTACCATAGCCAAAAAGAAATTGCAGTTTACAGAGGGGCATTCATTGAATTGAACAAATTGTGAATGGCCATTATTGATAATGGAAATGTAAATATGTACACAGGTTATCACCAATTGCAGCAAGATCATTTGCTATGATGTTACCAGATTTACTAACAAAGTCAGATTGAGTCACTGAGAGATCATTTTGCTTTTCTAGCGAAGGATGAGGAGATTGCAACCAAATCTGATGAAAGTGTCCTCAGAAGTCAGAAGTAAGCCTACTGAGTGCATGGCGAATTGCAACTCTTGTGCCATTGTTGGAAGAAAGAGAAGTTTGATGCCATCTAAATTCTCTAAAGAGCACACCATATAAATTCTCTTAAGAGCTCACCACCTAGGAGGGCTTGAATAATGATGAAGTTACCCTTGAAAAAGTTAGTTCAATGACCTAAGATGACTTGTAAAGGAAAACAAACTTTTAGAAGGTGATTTATAAATAAGAATGAAGAGAGTGAATTTCTTCCAGCATGTATTAACGTTCACCTGCTCACCACATTTCAATTTGTAAAACTTAATATCATAAAAAATAACCTCAGAAATATAATTTTATGACGCAAACTAATGCTACAAAAAATCCCAAGTTCATTAACTATGCTACATAAAAATGAGAAGGAGAAAACACATGAGAAAAACAATAAGGTCAAGGAATCTTGAGACCTAGCTTCCAGGGGCCAGCTGGAATAGCTTCTCTGCTTGCTCAGGGAAGAAGGTAATGAACAAATATGCACCTGCATGCTCATAAAAAGGCAAATGAAAATCATCTCAAGCATCAAGAAACCATAACTAGACGAAGCTGAAAAACTTACAAACAAGAACAGTTCCCAAAACAGCTGAGATTTTCCCTTGGATTGTCACCAACCCAGCTTTTCCAGCATTCTGCAACTCTGTGGAACCAACAGAATCAAATGTTCCTACAAAATGGAAAGCCAAATCCATTCACTTTCTTTAATCCAACACGTGAAATGGATTCTGAAAGATGATTCAGTGAATTACTAAACCTGGTTTCACAGTTTGAAGGCCTGATGTAATGCATGCCATATTTGAGAAACCAGATTGCTCTAATTTATTTGCTGCCGCAGCAGATCTTCACACCAAAGAGGAAACAAACCCTCAAATGCTAGTAAGAACAATAAAATTGAACATGTATAGCAAGCAAGATGGCATAGACTAACCTCAATCCTTCCTGGCATACAACCAAGAGTTTACTTTCAGGGGAAAGCTGGCTCTTGACAGATTGCACAAAATGAGGGTTTAATTTAGTGAATGGCAACCCAAAGAACAACCCAGCAAAGTTATTGTGCAGGGTCCTTTTTATAATTGTGCCTGCAGAAAAAGATGAAGATAGATAATCAGAATGATAAAAGAGGGAAATGTATGAATGTTTACAAGACAATTCCATACCAAGATCATTGTCTTGATTTTCAACAAAAAGAGGCACGTGATAGCATGATTTTATGTGAGCTCGGTCAAACTGGCTTTTATCCCTGACATCCAGAACTGTGTATCCTTCGACTGCAATAAGTTCTTTTGCTTCTTCAGCATTTACATATTTCACTGCAGCTTTTATTGCCAAGCTTCGCCTTCCAGGATGTTTCCCTAGCATGGTCCTTGCATTGTGAGATTTTAATACCAACCAAGATGTACCTAAGTTGCTGAAAACACAACCTTGATCCCTTACCAGTGTGTTCACAAAGATTTAAACAGTATTTGACAATTTTCCTTCATTAATTTCGCAAATAAAATTTAGACAAAATCTATCTTTCAGGATATACGGCGAGAATCTGTCAAAAAGCTTGATAGAACCGCACGTATAATGTATTGACGGTGTCATGTCAAAGAACTTTTTTCCCCATTTCAGAAAATAAGGGAAGTAATTTAAAGAATCCAGGTGCTGAGTAATAATCAACCAAAAGATGAACCTTGGTTCGAAAAAAATTAAGCTAAAGAAAAACATGAATTACCTGGAGGAAGAAAGACCGGAGCATAGACCAATTCCCGCCATTGTAAGATTTCTTGGTAGTCTATGTATCTCGTCTTCTGCTCACTAAATTCAGTCATCCCCGTTTCTTCATTTCTTTCTGGGCTATCACCAAATCATAACAGACCCTAGCCATTGGTTTTAGTGTCGTGGGCCCAGTAATTTGGGACAAGCAATGATCTTCTGCCGCGTGGCAACCAAATCAGACGGAGTCGATAACTTGATTCAGCTAGACTTCGACCCTCCGGCCTGTTTGGTGGGAAGGACTGAGGGAGTGGGACTTGCTAATACCAAGTTTCCATATTTGGTAAAAAAATTTAATTCTAATCCTGGATTGTAAATTTCCAGACCAAATTGCCACTTCATCCCATCCCCTCCCTCGTTGAGTCGTCTGCCTCCTCCCTTGCCGGTGACGCTGTGCCGACGGTGCCGTCTTCCACCTATGGCAACGTTCAACCGCAAAGCCGACGATGCCCTCCCTCGCGTCTCAGATCCCCTCGTTGGCTCCTCCCTCTCGTCGTCACCGTTGTCCTCTCTCCTCCCTGTTCTGTGGTCTCTCAGTCACCGCCGTCGGCTCCTCCCTCGGTCACCGCCGTCCTCTCTCCTCTCCAGTCTTATTTTTTACGAGTTCGACAAAGAAAGAAGAAGATGAGGGTATTTGATTCTTTTACCTGGTTTTTTTTTTTTTTAAATCACACACCAAACGTAATTAAAGCTCCTACTCTAATCTCATCCCCCATCCGTCAAAATTCAACGCTTTGTACCTTGTCTTAGTTTCTAGTTCTACTATTAAAAAAAAAAAAAACTTTATGGTCATCCGGTATAAGAATACACAGATTCTGTGAAAAAAAAAATGTACATGTCATGCATAATAATATATGTTATTATCAGATTTATAACAAATGAATTACTGTAACAAAGAAGCATTAAAAATAATTAAAGAAGAAGAAGAAGATCGGCTTATGCTTTACTGTATTCGATTCCAAGTGAGCAGGGGCGCGCGGTACCATATAACAGACCATTGCGACTATATTATGCACTGTGGGCATGCCATTTCTAAATGGGTCTGTCTGTAATTTTCCAGAGAAAAATTTTGACTTGTTATGCATGCATGTGACTGTAGCTGTCTTGATGCCTACTGCAACCCAGATTAAATTGGATATACATTGCTTTCTTTTCGGACTTCATTTATTATTGATCAATAACCAGACCTCATGATAAAGATATTACATATTAAATGATGATTGGACGAATTAAATTAGACGAGCTAGGCTGGTGTTTAACTAACTTTTGTTATTAAAATGATATTCACCTAAAAATTGGAAAGAATGAGCCAAGTTATACTTTCCTTCTATTCAAAATATAGGTAGTTTTTTTAAAAAAAAAATTACATATTAGTAAAAATTTTATTCACATAAAAATATGTATTGTTTTTCCTTTTAACCCCTAATTCAAATTATTAAAGCACTTCATGATTTTGTAAAACAAAAAAAGCATTTCATGATGAGTAAGATATACACTAAAACAAATATTTAATTAATAAATACAAAGGGTAAAATGATAATTTTTTTTACATGTACTAACTTGTTTATATTTTAAATCAAAATTAGTTAAAAAAAATACTTATTATTTGAACCGAAGGGAGTATATACTTAATCAATTATCCTAATAAGCAAAGGCGTGGGGCTTTTCCTGCAAGATACTAAAAATAATGAATGCTGATGAAATAGGAATGAGGGAATAAATATTCATTTTAAATGTTTGGTGTGTGGGAATAGTCATTACAATGAAATGGCTCGTTATCTCATTCGAAGCAATAAGCATTCCAACATAGAAATGGCTCCATTTCTTGGAAATCAACATATTTTTTACCAAAATATTCTTAGTTAATAATTCTTTTAACACAATCACCCTTTCCATTTTTGCTCTAATTTTACACCTACAGGATTTTCCCCCCTCCCCCTTCGGCTATACTCCTCCTTCATCAACCTTCTTTTCCATCACCTTCCTCTTCATCGCCTGTGCCACAGCACTAGTTTCTATGCTCATCTTAAGAATGAGCAGCATGTGCTCATCCTTAATTTGAGATCTAAATTATTTAAATTTTAATCTGAATGATTCAGATTTAATATATTATTATATATTATTTTTATTAAAATAAAAATTATAAATAATTTTAATAAATTTTATATTTTTAGTTTGATCTAGATTTAATTTAGCAGATTTAATTTAATATTATAATTTTTATAATTGATGTATATTAATTATTTAAATGCACTTTGCATATTCCTGAATTATGCAGAATAAATTTGAATAATCAATATATATTAATTATAAAAATTTTAATATTAAATTGGACCTTTTAAATTAAATATAGATCAAATTAAAAATAAAAATTTATTAAAATTACTTTATAATTTTTATACATTTTTAATTTAATAAATATAATATATAATAGTATAATAATATTTTAAATCTGAACTATTTAAATTTTTATTTAGATGTTCTAAATTTCATCCTAAAAATGAGCGCCATGATTGGGGAAGCTCAATCCCTGTGGCACCGAACTTCGCCTTCCAATCCAATGCTTCGCCGTCCACCGTCGAACTACTTTGTTCATGTTCCTCCTCTTTGGATCAATCGGATCTGCCAGTTAGCCATTGACTTCTTTCACGTTTTGCTCTGCCGCTGATATTCGCAGACCTATCATCTCCGTTTGCCCCAACATCGAACCCAGAAAAATTAATCAATGGGGCATAATTTACATTTAAAATAAACAATAATATTTTTAAAACATAAATAATTTTAAACTTTTATTCATGGCATAAGTTAATAAAATTATAAAAAAATTAATCATTTGGTTCTTATAGTTTTGAATTAATTGTAATTTAGTTTTTCAACTTTGACTCGTTATAACTTAGTCGTTGAAGTTTTGACTCAGTTATAAATTAGTCTCTAAAATTTTTCTCTTACAATTTAATTCTTGAAGTTTTAATTTTTAAATATCGATTCCTATATTTAAAAAAAATAAAATTATAAAGATTAAAAATATTTTAAACTTTTAATATTTATAAAGATTAAAAGGGTTTAATAATTTAAAATATTAGTAATAAATTGTAAAATATTTTTAATCTTTATAACTTTATTTTTTAAAAAATATAGAGATCAATATTTAAGAGATTAAAACTGCATGGACTAAATTACAATAGATAAAGTTTAGGAATTAATTTTCAACTCAGTCAAAATTTTAAGAAATGAGTTATAATTAGTTAAAATTTAGGAACTAAGTTACAATTAAGTTAAGATTACAAGGATCAAATAATTAATTTTTTCTAAAATTGAATATTAAAAAAATGCATGAAACATAACATTATAATAACATAAAATACCCTCTTTATATAAATATTTTTTTTATATACTAGAATCATGTTTTTATTTTTCATTAAATAAAACCGATATATCTTTCTTGTATGGCAGATTTTTTTTTTTGATAAAAATTTTCATAATTTTTTTTTAAAAATTTGCTTTTCCATTTTAAAAGCACTGCTATTTAAGTTTATAAAATAGACACACAATTTTAGATAACAGGATAAGTAAATTTTTACAAGGGGATAAGTGAATTTTTTTAAAGTTAGGAGGGCAATTGAAATTTTTAAGGGAACAACTAAAATTATTTAAGGTTATGTTAAGTAATTTTTTTTGGGTTAGTGGTTAAACGTTGGTACGACCCTCGTCCCCCACCCCCCAACATTGGAGAAGCTTTGATGGTCCTCACACAAGGGAAGCTTGGTTGCAGGTCTAACAGTTCTCCATCTCCAGATTCGAAGCTCCGTGCAATGTCTTCGTGAAGAAGAATGGTGGCTGTTGAAGAACACGAGTCTTGTGGCAGATACATTTTAGCTTCTTCCTTGGTCATTGAAACTTCTTTTTTCAATATAAGTCTACAATTATGATTTTCAGATCGAGATTTTGCAATCGTAAATTTGTTCCTTCGATCTGAAAGATCTTGTAAATCTATCTGGGATTTGTGATTTGTAAATGAAACTTTTGATCTAGTTTGCAAATCTGTCATTGATTAATTCAATCTCTAAGAAGATTCTGGATATTTGTTATTTGTTTATCTGTTGAGAAGAACGATGGGAGAAGAAAGTATTAACGTCACAGTCATGCTTGTTTGAGAATGTTTGCTGCTTTTTCTCAGTTCAGTTGCTCTCTTTAGCCTAGTGTTTATGCTAAAACGAGCAACTGAACTAAGAGACTAAAGAGGTTTTTGTTAATAACTTTTTTAGTAAAAAAATTATTTTATTTTTATTAAAAATAATAAAATTCAATCACAATTTTTATTATGTAAATTGCAAGAGCTAAACAGCAAATTATAATTTATTAAGTGTAATTTTTGTTATTAAAAAATAAGTCTCAATCATAATTTTTATTTAAAGAGTAACAATTTTTATTATGTGAATAGCAAGAGTTGAATAAAAGATTACAATTTATCAAATGTAATTTTTATTATTGAAAAATAAATTCTTAAAATAACAAATTACGTTCACAACTTTTATTTAAAAAATCACAACTTTTTTTTAAAAAATTATAAAAATTAAATAAGAAATTACAAGTTATCAATGAGAGTAAAATGGTCTTTTCACTAAAAACTTATTAACAAAGAGATCCCTAAAAACTTCATTAAAATTATAATATTTTAAGGGATTATATTATCATTTATATAATTTAAAAAAAATTATTATTATTATTTTTATATTCTGAAATTGCGATGATCACATTGGGAACAATTGGGAGGAACTGCAAGGAGGAAGATGAAACGGGTATTTTTGAACGGGGTATTCTGCTATTTTACTGATATAATTACACATATAGAATAAAATTGATATCATCATTTCATTTTCATACTAAACATGTTTTCTAACGTCATTTTTATTCTCATTTACATTTTTAATTCTATTATTATTTTATCAAAAATCATTCCATCATAATGAATGAGATCTAAGAGTATGTCGGGATTAAAAAATTTAAAATTAAGGTTAAAATGAATTAAGATTTGCATACTTAAATTGGAATAAAAATATATAATTGTAGCATGAATTATGTTTGGATATTATTTTTTGTTAAAGCTAGTTAAACAAATTAAAATTTATTTAAATGATCTAATTCAAAAACTAGTTTAAATTTATAATAACAAAAACAGAACATGAATTTTATTATATATATTTTTCTGATTAATTTTATATTTTTAAGAAAAAATATTAAAATTAAATTTTCATTTTTTAAAAAACCTAAAATTAAAAAAATATAAACTAAATTGATAACTTAAAAATCTTCATTATTATTACTATTTTTCATCAATTTTAATTATTGAAAAATTTCTATTTAATTTTGCAAATTAAAATAAAGAATACTTGTAAATAATTTAAAAAAAAATCACATTCAAGAATTACTTAAATAAATTATTTACAAATAAAGATTAACAACATGTTTTATTCAAAAAAAAGTTACTTTTAGTATTTCAACAACAATTTATTTTATATTAATTTTTATTTATGGATAATTTTGTTTGAGCGAACTTTAAATGCAATTCACCCAATAATTTATCCAGCGCACCCCTTGGCAGAGAAATTTGACAGAAAATTTAAAAGAATATTAAATGCTATCTGCGTTCATTAATACACACCGAGAAAGAAGCCCCTTCAACCAGCTTCAATTGAAATGACCTTTTACTACCCAACCAAAAGCTCTTTTCAACTTTTTAATACCAAAACAAGATTTTTATCTTGCAACGAGCTTCTAAAATCCCCCAACAGAGGCTTGTGTTGGGGGGTAATTGAAACATAGCCTAATTTTCCTTCCACAACAAGTCCATCGATCACAGCATGCTCATTGTTGGAACTTTATTAGATTATTAAATATTTCAAAAGAACAATAAAATGATGAACTAATTAGATAAAGTCATAAAGGAAAACGAAAAAAGAAAACTATTTAAAGGCCGCTGCAACTGACGGTAATAATAAAGAAAAAAGATTTAAATATGATTTTTTTAATTTTTTTTCAATACACATGCTGTATTATAGGAGTATTTCTTTTATATTTCACCTTCTCTCCGTTAGGATGCATAAATAACATAGCACCTTAATTAATAAGTTCTTACAATTATAATGGTTGGTTTTTGAATCACAATTAATTTTGACATAATAAGAGGTGCTTAAATATTAATTTTAACATGTATAATGGATATTTAAATATTTTTAAAAAACATGATTTTAAATTTACAAGTACTTTTAATATGTAATATGAATGTTTGGATGTATTATCACACAATGATAATTTTGATCTCTAGGAGATTGATTCTGCATGTTACCTAAACCGGCACGAAGTGGTCCCAGTGGAAAACGAAGTGGGTGAGCAATCAAGGAGGCGAAGAATTGAAAGAGAGAAGTCCAGGGGCATTGGCATTAACAAAGTCACCAAAATTCCGCTCTGGATACCAAACTTAACGTGGAAGAAATTAATGGGAAGAAGAAGGGAATACGACAATAAATGGATGACTTCTTATATCCACGTTTCGTATGGGGTAATGTATGGTACACGAGGACAAGTGGAAGCATTTTACTGGAGAACACGGGACAGTGGGGGGCAGTAATAATTAGCTCTGAGAATCGCATCGGATAACATGTTCATATATCAGCATCCGTGAGCTCTCGGAGCTGCTATTACGTGCGTGGCTTTTAATTAGTCCAAGCTCTCATGGACATGCTCGTGTCGATCGGGAAGGCGCTGAGTGGGATCTGCTGCAATCGCAGGAAGCGCCTTATTAGAGGGAGACTGGTTCTGATGAAGAAGAATGTGTTGGACTTCAACGACTTCACTGCTTCCTTCCTCGACGGTCTTCACGAATTTCTGGGTAAACGTGTCTCTCTTCACTTGATCAGTGCTCTTCACGCCCACCCAACTGGTCAGTCCTCTTCCTTTATTCTCCATTTCGTGCCACCCTCATCCCCCCCCCCCCCTTTTTTTTTCCTTAACCATGCAGTGATAAGAACACAGATCTAACCAGCCCCTACTCTCATACTTTAATTAAGCCACGACCATGCTCCAAGGATCTAGTGCTTCCTTTAATTCTTCTACTGCGTTTTCTTTTTTGTTCTTGACACGCAGGAGCCTTAACCGCCTCATCAAATGCTTCCTATTTCAGACTTTTGAGCCTGAGGCTTAGCCTTGAACTCACATGTAATTTAAACAGTACATGTCAATACATTCCACCAGAGGTTCAAACCAAACATTCATATCATCAGCTAACTCTTATTTGGAGCATCTTTGATAACAAAAAGCTATCTCCGCCTTGGTCAAATTTACCATTTGAGGGGTCAAAAACCCGGCCCGCACTGTCTCACATAGTCAATCGTCATGTGATCCGAAACTCCAGCTATATGGATTCGGACAATAATTGGGATGAGGACTTTAGGTCGTCACCACCACAAGTGACTATCTATTTCTTTTATCTATCAATTTAAAAATTAGATTAATTATTAAATTAGTTAAGTTATTGATTTATGGTTTAATAGTGTCATCAAAATGTAGTCAAATCAATCATGTTTAATTTAATATTTTTTTAAATAATATACATATGTATATATATATAAAATATAAAATAAACCCATATTTGAATAAAAAATCATTCAAAAACAAAAAATTATCAAATATTTATAATTTATCTCTTCATTTGCTTAAAAATTAATATTTTAGTATATTTCATTTTATCTCTCATTTTTTCGGGCATAAGTAACAAAGAAAATCTCATAAAAATCAAATAGAATTAATAATACCTTTTCAAAATTTTCTTTTCAAAACCTTTTTTATTTGCATTGATCAATAAAAAAATTAATATTTTCCTCCTTTTTTTTTTTTCATTCTGTTCCGCCTCTTCGTCTTCCACTCTCCCATTATTTATTCTTTAACATGTGTCAGGTAAAAAGAGAAAGGATGATTAAGGGTTAAAGTGAATTTTGTTCCTGTATTTTTTTTTATAAGTGTTAGATACTTTGTACTAATAAATAATTTTTTTAAATTATTTTTTATATGAGCTAAAATTTTCATTCATTAGTAACCCATTAATTCTGCATTTTTCTATTCTACCAATGTGTCACGTACTTTGTTATTAATTTATCCATAAACTCTTTTTAAACTCTTTTTCTAAAAACTTTGATTATCCTAAAGTTATGTTAAAATAAAATTTAATAAGTATTGTTAAAATGCAAATGATCTTCTAAAAAAGTTAATATTGATTAAGTTTTTTAAATTTTGTAGGTCATTCTTTATAATTTTTTTTAACTAAGGATCAAATTAACAGATATTTTGAATTGAGGTATCATTTGTTTTTAATTAGTATTTTCATATAATACAATATGTTTTTAATTTTTAATTTATAAAAATGAGTTGCAATTTCAACAAAATAATATTACTTTTATTCATTTATTTGAAAGTTCATTCCTTCATTTTTAATACGAAGTTGCACAATATTAAAATATTAAATTTGAATGGTACAATATTTTAGAAAAATATTGTTAGTTAATTAAAAAAATTACAAAAGATGACAGAAAAGATTTAAATAGCTTAATTATTATTAATTTTTTATAAGGTCATTTTTTATAATCTGTTTAAAAATATTATTGTTATTATTGTTAGGTTTGAAGTTCATTTCCCCCCCTATGCTTTCCTTTGAAAAATTGGGTAAAAGGCTAACACATTGACGCGTCCCATCTCTATTATATCTTCTCATTTCATCTTCCTCCTCCCTTTTTCATTTTCCGTTCCACTTCCCATCTCTCATCTTACATCTTCCTTCTCCTCATTTTTCCTTTGCCTTAGCAAGTCTCACAAGCTGCAACAATTTGATTTTATTTGGATCTAACAATCTGATAGTAGATCTGGTGGTTTCAAAACTAGAAAAACATACCGGAAGGGATGGTTTTTTGCAATACATTTTATCTTCTTCGTTTTTTTCCTTGAATCTCTTATTTTCCTATTTCGTTTTCTCTCTCCATTTCTCTCATTTGGCTTCTTTCATTTTTAGATCTGATTGTTTGAACTGGTTTGCTTGTCAGACCGATTGGTTTTTTCCAATTTTCTCGGTGTGTTGACAGGTATTTTAATTTTTGACCGGTTTACTGTATCAACTGAATCAGTGACCGGTTCCGGTCCAATTTGGTTTTTTAAAATTTTGCCACCGATTCTGTAAATGTCTTTGAGCTTGGGGCAACGAACAAGGTTGGTCTATTTTCAAATTTTGATTATGGGCGATCTGTAAGTACTAGGTACTGATTAGTCTAAAGACATATGTTGATGCTAGACTTGCCCAAACTTCTAAAATGACCTTTGCACGTGGGCCAATGACACAATTAGCAAGGTTCTAATTGAGGCTATTGCTGGTTGAAATCTATTGAGAGAAAGACAGTTAAGTTGAAAAAAAAAATAATAACAGTTAAATTTTTAATAAAATTTTTAAAAAATTAATTATTAATATTAACTTAAATAATTACAAATTTTAAAATTTTAATTATAAATATAATATTTAAGTTTAAAATATAACCATTAATTTATAATTTAAATTTTTGTTCATAATTGTTTGAATTAATATTTATAATTTATTTTATAAAAAAATTTGTTAAAACTTAACTATCATTAATTTATTTTGAGACTTTATTGTTATTCTCCCAAAATTATTTCCAAATCCCCTCTTCTTTATATCAACCAAAAGAAATTAAATAAGTTGTTCTAGAGTTTCTTTCTAAAAAATTATATATAGGTCTCATATAAAAAATTAATTATTATAAGATCTATTAATAATTAAATTAAGACCTTTAACAACACAACCTTATGGTAATTATTTTTTGTGTGTGTGATTTTAATATAATTCTTCCTTTCTTTATTTTAATTTTCTATTTTTACCTTAAATTGTAAAATGTAAAATATTTTTTTTCACATTTATAGAATTTAATTTAAAAAATAATACGAGGATTGTCTGTTCTCGCATGATTCTCCCACTCTGCGAGAGACTAGTCGAATTTGATTTCCATTGCAAGAGGGAAGCGATAAAATAGTTGCTTTGCTGGCCAATTTTATATGTTACTATTTGCAGGAAATGGCTTCAAAGGGAAAGTTGGCAAGCCTGCATATCTGGAAGACTGGATCACTACCGGCACACTTGTGATTGCTGGTGAATCAACATTCAAGATTACATTTGAGTGGGACGACGATATAGGAATTCCAGGAGCATTTCTAATAAAGAATAATCACCACAGTGAGTTCTACCTCAGAACTCTAACACTTGAAAATGTTCCAGGACAAGGTGACATCCACTTTGTTTGCAACTCCTGGGTGTACCCTGCCCAAAAATATAAGCATGACCGCGTCTTCTTCAGCAACAAGGTAATGCACAACCGAAACAAGCACTTGAGCAAGATTTGTCATTTTTTAACCCCTCAAAACATCACTTCTTCACCTGTCACTTGTTCTCATTATTGATAGAAGGAATTTTGAACTACTGTGTGCTGCAAGGGACATAATTACCTATATGTTGCAGGCATACCTTCCAAGTGAAACACCAGAGCCTTTACTTAAGTACAGAGAAGAAGAACTAGAGAATTTAAGAGGTGATGGAAGAGGGGAGCTCCAAGAATGGGATAGAGTCTATGACTATGCGTACTATAATGATTTGGGCGATCCAGATAAGGGTCCGGACTATGCTCGTCCAATTCTTGGAGGGTCTAGTGAATATCCCTACCCTCGAAGGGGAAGAACTGGTAGACCACCCTCAACGTCAGGTTAGGATGTTGTAAAATCTTTATTACGCTATTGATTCAAGCCTGCTTCATTGAATAATGTAGTGGGGAAAATCAAATACAATCTAGTATTGATTCAAGTTCAGGCCATTAAAAAACCAAAGAGAGCTGTGATAATATGAAATTTTAGAAATGGCATGTTCTTGTTTTGGTTTTTCTCCTCAGATAAATGGCACGTTCATTATACTAAAGGTTTGGCAATTCTTCATGTCAAGTGATTACATATCTCCATAAAAGAGGAGGATTCATGTGCACCATCTCATGGGCTGCAACTGACTTTATTCAACTTATGCAAATATCATAGTTCATCTATTGCAGTTTTTTTTTTATTAAAAAAAATGACATAGTGATGTTAATTTATCATGTAATCTTTGCAGATCCAAACACTGAGAGTAGGTTGAATCTTGCCATGAGTCTGAACATTTATGTTCCGAGGGATGAAAGATTTGGTCACTTGAAAATGGCAGACTTTCTTGCCTATGCCCTAAAATCCATAGTTCAAGTTCTCAAACCTGAGTTAGAATCGGTATTTGATAGGACCCCCAATGAATTTGACAGTTTTGAAGATGTGTTTAAAATCTATGAAGGTGGGATTAAAATTCCAGAAGGTATACTCAAGAATATAACGGATAACATCCCTGCGGAGATGCTCAAGGAAATTCTCAGAACTGACGGTGAACCGTTACTCAAATTTCCCACACCTCAAGTTATTAAAGGTTTATTCTTTACCCTTTGAAAATGTACATATACATTGTAACTTAAATGTGTTATTTTGCATTCAAGGGCATGCATGAGAAACTTGTGCATTTTCTTAACCATTCCAATTTAATAGTTTTGTTTTAAATTTGGACCAGAGGATAAGTTTGCTTGGAGGACTGATGAAGAATTTGCAAGAGAGATGTTAGCTGGTATAAATCCTGTCATGATTCGATGTCTCACAGTAAGCCCAAGCTACAATACTTGATTCTAAATGATAGGTTCCATCTGAAAACTAGGGCCTTTTTATGAATGTTGTATCCTTTTTTCCATTTTGGGTACAGCATGAATGTTGTATTCTGTTTTCCTAAACTGGATGGGTTTCATAGCTTGATTGAGAACTTTTTTTTTCCCCCCTCATAATAATTCTAAATCAATGGCAGGAGTTCCCACCAACAAGCAAGCTAGATCCTAAAGTCTATGGTGAACAAAATAGCACAATAACCAAAGAACTGTTAGAGATGAATCTGGATGGGCTCACTGTAGATGAGGTAAGGTGGCTAGGCATAATAAGGTTGGGTTTCACACTAACCCTTCACGTGAAGAATTTATAACATATTGACATTTTGAATCATGCTATAGACTTTCTTTTGTTCAATAGGCGATCAAAAGAAAGAAGCTATTCATATTAGACTATCATGATGAGCTGTATCCATATTTGAGGAGGATAAACTCTACTTCCACAAAAACCTATGCCAGTCGGACAATTCTTTTCTTACAAGATGTTGGGATTTTAAAGCCACTGGCCATAGAATTGAGTTTGCCACATCCTGATGGAGATCAATATGGTGCCATTAGTAAAGTTTACATGCCTGCAGAAGAAGGTGTTGAAAATTCTATCTGGCAATTAGCTAAAGCTTATGTGGGTGTAAATGACTCAGGCTATCATCAGCTTATTAGTCACTGGTATAGCTCAATCCGATAAACTAATTATATAAATGTAGTATCTATCTAGTATATAGTCTGGTCTAGTTCTGAAGATTAACCAATGGCATCCTTTTAATTATGAGACACAGGTTGAGGACTCATGCAACAATTGAGCCATTTGTTATAGCTTCAAACAGGCAGCTCAGTGTGCTTCACCCGATTCATAAGTTATTGCATCCTCATTTTCGTGACACCATGAATATAAATGCATTTGCACGACAGATCCTTATCAATGCAGGTGGTATTCTTGAGATGACAGTTTTTCCATCCAAATATGCCATGGAGATGTCATCCGTAATTTATAAGAATTGGACTTTTCCTGATCAAGCACTTCCTGCAGATCTTCTCAAGAGGTGAAGCTTACTCACTAAAGATTTATGGTTCTAATTCAAGTGATTTGGCATTAAATATTTTTATTCTTCCTTAGAAAACTGCAAAGCTTTTTGATTTTAATTAATAAACTGATTTACTTGCTTCTTTCAGAGGAATGGCAGTTAAAGATCAAACTTCCCCCCACGGTCTTCGGCTATTAATTGAAGATTACCCTTATGCTGTTGATGGACTAGAGATTTGGTTTGCTATCAAGACATGGGTCAACGACTATTGCTCCTTTTACTACAAGACAGACGACAAAGTTAGCAACGACTCAGAACTCCAATCTTGGTGGAAGGAAATAAAAGAGGTCGGTCATGGTGACAAGAAAGACTCCCCTTGGTGGCCTTTAATGCAGACTCGTGAAGATTTGATTGAGACTTGCACTATCATTATATGGATTGCTTCAGCTCTCCATGCTGCAATCAACTTTGGACAGTACCCTTATGCCGGCTACAACCCAAATCGTCCTTCTTTAAGCCGACGGTTCATGCCTGAAAAGGGAACTCCAGAGTATGATGAGCTTGTGACAAACCCCGATAAGGCTTTCTTGAAAACAATTACTGCACAGTTTCAAACTCTTCTTGGCATTTCACTCATAGAGATCTTGTCTAGGCATTCTTCTGATGAGGTTTACCTTGGACAGAGAGACACGGCTAATTGGACATATGATCATGAACCATTGGAGGCCTTTGAGAAGTTTGGAAGGAAACTGGTAGAAATTGAGGAGAGAATCATGAGAATGAACAATGATGAGAGACTAAGGAACAGGGTTGGGCCAGTTAAGTTTCCATACACTTTACTTCATGCTACTAGTGAAAGTGGGCTGACTGCCATGGGAATTCCGAACAGTGTATCAATTTAAAAGACATACTTCTTAGTTATCCTTATGTCCTGAAATTAGACTAAAAATAATCCCTCAGTTACAGGGACATGGCTATATTTTTTTATATCTGTAATCTTCTATTCCTTGCGAACAGAAAGTGATACATATTTTAAAAGAGATTGAGTGTGCCTTGTTCTATGTCGATATATACAATTTTAAGAAATGCAAAATGCAATTGTACCAAGTATGCATATATGATAGAGGGAAAGCATATAATAAGTCACGTAAATCGATTTATTTTTTTCCTCTTTCATTTGTTGGCTCTTGGTTTACATTGAAGAAGATGTTCCTGTCCTGCATGCGGCTAAAGAATGCATTGGTTGCCTTACTGCACCAGATCCATTATAGCATTCACAAGGTCTTCCTGTTCTGACATTATTTTGTCTGCACTTTTTTTATTGCGTGTGTTACATAATTTACAGTGTTAGTGATACCGTTGTAAGGTAATGTTAATTATTGTGGGTATTTTGGCGACTTGGATGTTGAATAGTATACGAAGATCGTGCAAGCAGGAATTGATGTGTGTAATTTTTTTTTTTAAAAAAAATGCATGAAACAAACCACGTCATTTAGATGCCGACTTGCGGATCCTCAAAAACTAAATTCGCAGCAGAAGTTTTGCATAATTAAAATTGAAAATTTTAACACATATAGCATGAAAACTAATAATTTTGATAACCAAGAAATGACACTAGATTCATTTTAGAAGTCAATTATATGCAGGAACTTAGGGTGCTTTTGGATATGTTACTTCCCACTTTTTTCAAAAGCCTTTTTCAACTTTTCAAATGCCAAATATTGTTTGAGTAATTATAATAGATGAAAATAGATATTGCGAAAGAATTTTGATAGCTGACTTGAAAGTGAATTTTAGAACGTGTAATTTAAAAAATTTTCAAAAATTATTTTCAACTTATTTATAGGGCTTTGATTTTATTTATAAGATAGAAAGTATTTATTTTGATTTTATTTATAGGGAATTTTAATAATTATTATATCCATCTTTACTCTTTTAATCTTATTAAATGTTAGAAAAGTTATTAAACACTAAAAAATTTTATTTTTTAAATATGTTTATTTAATAAGGGTAAAGTTAAAAACTTATTAAATATATTTTATTTTATCACAATTTTATAAATATTTCTAATATATTACATTTATATAATAAAAATTATAAATTATCATAAATCAATTTTTTTATAATTGTACATTCAAAAGCATATTTTATTATTATAATTTAAATAACTTTTTGCATATCAAACTGACTTTCAAAAAAATATATTCAAATATAAATTTTATTACAATAACTGACTTTTGTCAAATAAACTTTCAATAAATAATTTTTTGATAAACTGAAAATCAAATACATACTTAAAGTCATAAAAATGAGTCTTTCATGACCCATGTAAAGTTATAATTATAAATAGTTGTGTATATATATATATTTTTGACAAAATAAATTGTTATATTTTATTATATATCATATTCATTTAATAGTTCACTTGCTTTGGACAAATGGGAGAAAAAGCCTCTCCCTCACGCTTTCAAGCTAATTTCTTGCCAGATTTTGTGTAACGGAAAATTTGTAAATTGATTAATGATTGATTGATTAAAAAATTAATTTAATAGTCTGTATCACAATCTGACTGTCCAATCCGTCCCTCCACTCAATGTCCCTCGAGCCTCACTGGCCACCACACTCGGTGGCCAATCACGGAGCCCGTAATCTTAGTGTGCGTTTGGTTTTCAGTTTGTCAAAAGTTTATTTGATGAAAGTTCATTTGGTGAAAGTCAGTTTAATAAAAGTCAGTTGTTGTAACGAAATTTGTGTTTGGATATATTTTTTCAAAAGTCAGTTTAATACATTGAAAGTTATTTGGTTTGTGACAGTGAAATGTGCTTTTGAATGTACAATTACCAAAAAGAACATTGATTTATAATGATTTATAATTTTTATTATACAAATGTAATATATTCAAAATATTTAAAAAATGTAATAAAGATTATAAATAACATAGATTTTGATCTATAATGCTAACAATTTGATCTCTAATTATTTGTATTTTTTAATTTATAATTTTAAAAGATGTAATAAAGATTTGCAATTTTTATTATACATTAATGCTAAAAATTAACATGATTAATTACTCAATTTATAATACTAAAAAAATTGATACCTAATTATTATTATTAAAATAATAATTATATTTTTATTGAATTAACTATTTTTTAAATAAAAAATAAGAGATTAAACTTAGGGTAGTATGGTCAAATAACATCCTACTTTTCAAATTCACTTTTTAAAAGCTTCAAATAATTACGTTTCAGAAATTCACTTTCAGCTACTGTTTGAATGTACTTTCAGGATGTGCTTTCCTATAAAATATTCTACCCAAATAACTTTCAACTTTCTGAAAGTGAAATTTTGCTTTCTGAATGTGAAATGGAGGAAAACCAAACGGACCCTTAATCGTCGTGCGTCGTCATGCTCATTGGAGAGGGTTTCTCCAAAGTTCGTCCTCCAAAGTTATACATGTTACTCATCGTCTATGTTCTTCATCCATTTTTTAATGAGTAAATTTTTTTCTTTGAATTTTTTTGTGCAGGGTTTCTAAATTTTGGAACATTTTTATTCCTTAACCTTTGAAATTACTTGCCTAGTTATCCCACCGTTAATGTGCCTTCCAACTTCCATTTTCTGCCTTGTGAGTCCCACCATTTTGCACACATGTGGCATCCAAGTCACTATCTTGATGACTAATTTCCTTTGATTGGATTTGGATCCTTTTTATACTTTCTCTCAATACATCTTTTCATACTCAATCTCAACCGTTTATTTAACCATTGCTTTGGTTTAATGGTGTGAGATTGTAAATTATAACATTAAAATAAATACATTATTTATTATCATCACTTAAATGCTTTTGAGAATAAGACTATAATACTTATTAATGATAACCATTAAATGAATATTATATTTATTTTAATGCTATAATTTGCAATCTAACACTATTAAACTAAAATAATAGTTAAATGAATGATTAAGATTGAGTATGGAGAGATTTATTGATAGAAAGTATGAAAAGGATCCAAATTCTCCTCTAGTCCTCGTCTTCCACTAGGCGTGCCCTGGCCCCCTCTCATCGGACACTTTCGCCTTCTTTTGTTCCCACATTAAGCACTTCATCACCTCTACGCCCATATTTCGTCCCATGCATTGTTGCTTCCTTACCTAGCACTGCCAAAAACTTCCTTTAAAACCCATAAATCTAGTTTTGAAAAGTCTGCCATCCTCCACTTGTCATATGGTTCCAAAGGCTTCTTGTTTGCAGCTTATGGACTGTACTAGAAATTCATGAAGAAACTATGCATGTCCCAACTTCTTGATGGTCGCACCCTCAACATCCTCCTTTCGATGAGGCGATCGGAGACCATGAGGTTTCTCAGAGTTTTGCTCGAAAAAGGTTGGGCCAATGAGGCCATTGATGTTGGTCACGAGCTCATGATATTAGCCAATGATATTATAACAAGAATGATCATGAATCTAACTTATTGTGCTTCAATCTATATGAATTTTATAGTCTGACACACACACACATAGACATTAATACACACACGTATCATTTGATTTGGAGCAAATTTTCTAAACTAACGACGATCTCCATCATAAAATTTGAGGTGGACGATGATGTCATCTCCATGGACAATCGTGACTTGCCACTTCGAACCAAAACTGAAACCGACAGCCATAGACATCACTTTCTATAAAACGATAGTTCCCATTAAGATACAAATTACAAGCGTGCTGAAAATTTTGAAGCGTTCTTCAAGGGTAGACGTTGGTGAGTCTCTGTTATAAATAAAAAAATTTATGTTAAAAGAAGACTTGAGAGATTTCAGAGAAAATTTGATGTGTGTGTTTCTTTCTTTCTTTGTTTTTTTTTTCTGAGATGTTCAACGAAGCATTGAACAATTGGTGATACCCTCCGCTCATCTTTGTTCAACATCCTTCAAATACTTATATTCACATTTTAGCTAGTGAATGTCGCGGAAATACAAAGCCATCTTATTAGTTAAGATTGGGTAATTAATAAATAAGATACAAAAACTTTAGACCATACTCTTTAGGTAGGTATTAATATAAAAAAAAAACCCTTGTATAAAATCAGGAGCCATTTCATAACTAGCATACAGATGATGACTTTTCATAAATTTTATATTATATATATTTTTGCAAGGCTATCTATTAAAAATATATACTGCGAGAGATTTAAAAGTTCTAATAATTGAATAGTTAGGAACATCATTATTGTTTTTTTTTAAACCTTTTTTGGTGAAAACTGAAAAGTATTAGTTAAAGATGTGTTTAGATTTTAATTATGACTTGTTTGGTAGCACAGAATTGGGGGTAGGGAGGTGGAACTCATTTTTTTGACTGTTTGATAGGCAAGATTTGGAATCCAATTTTATCAAATTTGATGGAACTCGCTACCCAGGGAACTGGGTAACTTCCATGAAACCCAATATTTTTTTTTTACACTTATGCCCATGGTAATTTAATTTATTGACAACTCCTCATTTTTACCCCTAAACCCTCACTATCTGCAATTACCTTCTTCTTCACCGATCGTGTTGCCTAAGCAATTTCTTCACCATGATCTCAGACCTCAGACGGCGGCCACGTTCCTGGAGAACTTGATTCCTCAACGTCCTCGATCATTCATCCTTGTCGTCGTCTCACAGTGTTCATACTTGTGAGAAGATGTGAGAATAGCACTTCCAAGGGAATGTTGTCACTGAAGAAAATCATACCTATCACAAAATCATCGATTTCGAGCATGATTCAACAAAATTCCCAGCTTCTCGATTGGGTTGGCAACATTCAGGAATGATTCAACAAATTCCCCAGCTTCTTGATTTGGGTTTGGCAACATTCAAGCAAGACTGGATTTTGGATTTAATTTCAAGTCTCTGATTTATTATATTGGTGTTTATATTCGGTTTAAATGATTCGATGTCCAATTTTTGATGCTTTGACTTTGATGTTTATATCTTGATCTGGGTTTGAACGATGAAGAACGATGATTCAAATCTGGTTTTTATTTTGCCAAAGATTCAACTCTTGTTTTGCTGGTGGAAGACGAACGATGAAGGCAATTGAGAAATTTTGTTTATTTTAAGAGTATTTTGGTATTTTTAAATTATTGAATATAATTCATATCTGTATCAAATATTACATTAGAAAAAATTAATTAACAAAATGTGATGATGTTTAGATAATATTTTTCAAGATCACTTTACTAAATCGAGGAAAAAATAACTTCTTCAAAATAAAGTTAGAATAAAGTTTTAAGGTTGGTTTCTGCAAAATAGAATTTTAGAAACCAAATGAAATTTGACAAAATGTGTTTAGATAAGTTTAGTTTTTTTGTCTCAATTCTGAGGCCAAATGAAAATCCGAACAGGCCCCAAACAAGTAGTGAGTTGTAACGTGGTTGTATCGGACAATTCAAAAAGGACATAACAAGCACCCCAACAAAAGAGGAACTATAACAATGTCACTGAAGACTGTATAGAATGCACACCACAACATATTTACCATGATTCAAGATCAAATATCTATATCTTTCTTCAAAGAATATCAAATACCTAAATTCCGTATTAAGTGATGCCCTAAATATTCATATTCGGGTTGCTACCTCCACTCCGGATTTATTTTTTTCCCAATTAACTGGGGAATTAAAGCTCGACGCTGTAGTTTGCTAAGCGCCAATTTTAACACCTGGTGTTATTGATATCAAATCAAAATGTAAATCGAACTACAATACTGAGCATCAACATTTTGGTAATTTAGGTTGATAATTGACAGCAAATTATTGAAAATATCAAATACAGCAGCAACATAGGAAAAGACAGCCAAGTAAGAATTTCCAGTCACAAACAAACATTTGGTTGAACAAAGAGCAATAAAAATTCTCGTGCCAAGATGAGGAAGTATTTATGAATCAACGCTAGATCTTTTCTTGGTCGTGTAAGGATAGTACTCCTTCCCGTTGTCGACTCTTGTTGTTTGACCACCAATATCAATAATTGAAGAAGTGACTGCTAATGCTGTTCCAGCTGAAATTGCAGTAGAAATGCTCCTTCCTACAACAAAAAGGACAGCATCAACATATCAACAACTTTTATATATATATATATATATATATATAAGAGCTATTCGTATTACACAAAGCTGGCCCACAAAATGGATCTAGGGCACATTTACTTCTGATTTCAAAGATGTGCACCATACGCACCCCTCATCTGTACTGTTCAGATGAGATTTGGATGGTCCGTATCTAATTTTTTAATTTATCTTAAACATTGAAATAACCTTTGTCAGATCCAGAATCTTGATTCACAAATATACTCATTGTGGATGACATTGAATCATTAATCCACACACAAGAAAAAACCTTCAAACTAGCAAACTTGCAACCTGACTAACTGCAACATAAGCATTCCTCTTAAGAGGAAGCTATAAATCGACATGCTCTAAGTAAAGGTTCTAGAAGCATAATCAGGTTTCAGACAAGACATGGCGTTTGAGGAATGAATTATATTGTTTCTAGCTTGTGCATAACACAGTTTGCTATAGATTTTATTATATAAATTGATGTTAATATACTGATTAGATCTCGTGTAATTCTCAGCAAGAGCTGCAACTCATGGGTACTTCGTATATCAGGCAGTCAATCAGCACGCCACGCAATTTGAAAGTATAGCCCAGTGAAATTAAAGGCACTGATAGAGGTTCTTGCCTCTTAATGACTCAGGCAAGGCAAGTTGCATTATTTCATCCGTTCCCATTTGCTCTTACTCGGTTTCACCTCTATTCAGTCCAATTATTAATGACTGATGAGCCCAACATACAAGGGGGCCGTGTGTATGAGAGAAAGAGGGCCACTAAGGCACCCAAGGAGAAAGGTAAAGAAACAGGCACTGATGCTGGCCCATGGCCCAATGGGGACAAGGGTGAGACTGTTATCTAGGGTTGTGTGCCCTAAGGAAAGGATCGAGGCTTTTGGTTGGTTCATGGGGAGAGTCCTGACCTCTCGAACATCAGGGGAGTAGCTTGACACTGTTCCATTTTGCTCCTTGTTCATTTACATTTCTGCTGCTATCTTTCTGGTTTTTTTCACTGTAACAGCTCTAGTTAGTTGCAATATCCCTTTTTCCTCTTCTCCTCTCTAAAGAAGAGGCTGTAACTAACCTGGTATAGTGATTTCAAATAGAAAATTTCCTCAGTTCTGTCAACTTGGTATTAGAGCAGGTCGATCCTGTGGATGGCGAATACTCAAATGGAGGCTAGACTAGAGAACTTATGCCATGTTTGGTAGGTTGGAATTGTGAAGATGGAAATGGAATTGGGATAGGAATCTGAATAAAGTGATGTTTGGTAGATATGAATTACAATTCTTGGGAATCCTAATTCTATGGAAAAATGCTGATTTGAATTCCTTATGTAAGTCTATGGAATTGAGAGCAATTCTATAAAATTGTAATATTTAAGACACTTTTGCCCTTATACAAATTTTAGAAAGACAAATTTGCCCTCAAAAAAAAATAAAACCCTCATATGCTAGCAAAAAAAAGAAAAAAGGAGTATAAAAGGGTGAATGATATTTTTGCTCATTATATATAAAACGTTATAATATATATATAAGATAGTATTATATATAATATTTGTATATAATTTATATATTTATAATATTTTTTTGGTATAAGAAGTAGAATTGATTTGTTTGACATTTTTCTTCTAAATCTACATGTTAGTGTATTTATTTTAAAGTAGAAGGGATGGGAACCATTGCCAATTTTATTTTCAAGAAAATGTTCCCTCTAATGATAAAACTTTTTGTTTGGCCCAAGCTAGTGAATAATAGTTACAGATATAATCTATGATTTATATAATATTTTATTAATATATAAAATACATAAGAAAATTGGTACACAATTAAGTTTTTATTATGTTTTATTTTAATTTTTATATAGGGGTATTTTTGTCTTTTAAGTATAATTCCATTTCCATGTCTTACATACCAAACAAAAGTAATGCAAGGATTCCATCTAATTTTTCTAACATACCAAACATACTTTTATAATTCAATTCTATTCCAATTCTGATTTCAATTCCAATTCCAATTCCATCAAAAACTATTCCATCATACCAAACGGGGCCTTAGAGAAATCCTTGGATGAGCTACAAGGTTTGGATAGGACGGCTGCTGAACTACAAAGAGACAATGTAGAAGCGAGGGAAGAGAGGGCAGAGATGCAAAGAACCATAAACCAGTTAAAGGTGCAGAGCACTGATATTCTGACCTTACTCGAATGGAGGTTACCTGGCACAAATAACAGTAGTGAGCATGAAAGGGGGTACCATATTGAAGCTCCTAGGAATCATGAAGAACAAAGACCTAATAGAAAAGGTGATACCAGGAGACGAGATAAGGAAACAACAGGTGAAGTGGGAGATAAGGAGGGACAAAAGTATCGTCACCTGGAGATGCCTCTTTTTGACGGTGAAGGCCCTGTTGGATGGACTTCTTGTCTAGAGAGATATTTCACTGTCAATGGAATTCCAAAGACCGAAAAGTTGGATGCAGTAATTGTTGGGTTGGAAGGCAAAGCCCTGAAACGGTACCAATGGGCAAAAACAAGGGCGCTGATGGCAAACTAGAGGGAGTTTAGGGCAAGCATGATCAAGCGATTCCATTGCTCTCAGGCAGGGAACAATTACGGACACATAGCAGCTTTAAAATAGAGTGGGACTATATCGGAATTTAGAGAAAAATTTGAACTACTTTCAGCAACCATAAAAGATGTGTCTGAAAAGGCACTAATGGGCACATTTTTTAATGGGCTTTAAGAGGAAGTGAAAGTTGATGTGAGATTAATCAAGCCCAATATTCTTGAAGGACCTGATGGACGCAGCCTTTGAGGCTGAAGACCGAAACATCACTCTAGAGAAGGCACGAGAAAAATGGGAGAGCATAACAAGCAAACGCGAAAAATTGGGGAAGCGGGCAATGTCGAGCAATCCATTTCCAAAATTTTCACACTACTCTGAAGGGCCCAAGAGCCCAAATGCCACACAAGCAACACGTGGAGGTGGCAGCAAAGAGGTCAAACCATCTAAGGTTTCGAGTAACCAAGTTTCAACATCTGTAACGTCCCCAAGCAGTGCGAACAGCACCTACAGGGGTCCAAAAAAAATTGACGGAAGCCAAATTGAATCGAAGAAGGGAGTTGGGGTTGTGTTTTAAGTGTGATGAAAAATTCGAGCCAAATCACAAATGCAAAGCAAAGCAACTACGATTGCTGTTGGTGGAGGAGAAAGATTTTTTAGAACTAGTTGAGCCTACCGAAATGGAATATGCAATGATGGAAACTCTCACAAGCAATGGTTAGAAGCCTTTCAAGATATAAAACCATGAGGATGAGGGGGATACTCAAAGACAAGGCGGTGGTAGTCTTGATTGATATTAGGGCAACCCACAACTTTATTTCAACACAGATAGTGAGGGAAGCCAGAGAAGTACAGCCCACCAAATTTTATTTAGTCGCATTGGGGGACGGGCGCAACGTGTATTTGAAGGGAGAGTGCAGGAATGTCGATTTCAATTTACAAGGGCTTCGAGTGGAGCAAACCTTCTACCATTTTCCATTGGTCAACATTGACATGGTTTTAAGGGTGGCATGGTTGGAATTGTTGGGAGAGGTAAGATTCAACTAGTGACAGCTTTATATGAAGGTAAGAGTGGGTCGAAAATGGGTTTGCTTAAAAGGGGATCCTACTCTAACACAATCACAAGCAACACTTCAAGCGCTCAAAAAAGCTCTCAAGGAAAAAGCAGAAGGCTTCATGCTAGAAATTCACACTATAGAGGTACTAGACTCTACTGTAACCAAGGAGGCAGCACCCATCTCTACTGAAATTCAACCATAATTGGAGAAATACAGCAGCGTGTGTGCACCCCTTAAGGGACTACCCCCTGGCCGAACCAAAGGCCACTCTATTGTCATCAAGAAAGGAGTTCAACCTCCCAATATATGGCCTTAAAGGTATCCCTATATGCACAGTTGAAATTGAGAACCTAGTGCAGGAGATGATTGAAGTTGAGATTATAAGGCCAAGTAACAGCCCTTACTCGAGTCTAGTTTTATTGGTGAGAAAGAAGGATGGAAGTTGGAGACTACTGAGCTTTGAACAAGATCACTGTTCCCAATACATATCCCATACCACCAGATCTGTGTTAAAAAGGGAGACGAACACAAGACTTTGCACACATGACGGGCATTACAAGCTTTTGGTCATGCTATTTGGCCTCACTAATTCTCCTTCTACCTTTCAATTTTTGATGAATGGTATTTTCTGTGATCATTTGAGGAAATTTATTCTAGTGTTTTTTAATGATATTCTTGTATACGGCAAGGATGAAAAGTCACATCTAGAACACTTAAGCAAGAGTTTGGAATAGCTACAACAACATCAGCTCGTTATTAACCCTAAGAAGTGTAGTTTCAAGAAGTGACAACTTGAATACTTGGGACACATAATTTTTCAGTGAAGGTTTGAAGCAGATCTCGTTAAGATTGAAGCAATGGTAACATGGCCAGTTCCTGAAGACAAAGAGTTTGAGGGGATTTCTCAGACTTACAGGGAACTATAAGAAGTTCATCAAAGACTATGGCAAGATTGCAGCCCCTTTAACCTCTCTTGAAGAAGAATGCATTTCAGTGGAGAAATCAAGCTCAGATGGCTTTTGACAAATTGAAGACTGCCATGGTGAACACCCCTATCCTTGCGATGCCCAATTTTCAGTTAACATTTGAGATTGAGGCTGATGCTTGTGGAGTGGGTATGGATGCAGTGTTGATGCAACAAGGCAAGCTGATTGCTTATTTCAGCCAGCAACTCTCCAACAGGGCCCAACAAAGGTCGGTGTATGAGAAGAAGCTTATGGCTGTAGTGCTTGCTATCAAGAAATGGCAGCAATATGTTTCAGCCCAACCATTTGTTGTTAAGACAGATCAGAAGGCCCTAAAATATTTACTTGAGCAATGCCTTATTGACCCAGACCAAAAGAAGTGGGTCACCAAGCTCATGGGGTACCAATTTGAAATTCAATACAAGCATGGAGAGGAGAATCAAGCTGCCAATGCTCTCTCTAGAAGGGAAAATGCAGATCTGACCTTGAACGCTTTCTCCCTATGGCGGTACGCTGGAATGGAGGAATTTGAGGCTGAGATGGTTAAGGATGAGAAGCTTATGAAGATATGGCAGCAAGTACTACTAGGGCAAGATGCACTAGCAGGGTATGCTATTAAAAATGGCTGTTTACTCTACCATATCAAACTGGTTTTGCCATGGAACTCACCAAAAACAACTGAGTTAATCAATGAGTTCCATAACTCTCCTATGGGAGGGCATTCAGGGCACCTACACAACTACAAGAGGCTGTCCGAAGTGGTTTATCGGGAGGGTATGAAGCGAGATGTGCAAGAACAGATGCGAAGTATGCCAGGAAAACAAGTATGAAGCTGTTACCCCAGCCAGCTTATTGCAGCCATTACCCATTCCTCAGCATGTATGGGAAGACATTAGTATGGATTTTGTGATGGGAATGCCTCAGGTGAGCAGGTATGATAGCATCATGGTGGTAGTGGACCGATTCACCAAATATGCTCATTTTGTAGCGGAATTGTTTATAACTGAGATCGTGAGATTGCATGGCTTCCCAAATCTATTGCTGCTATTTTTATGGTTCTATTCACTGTAACAGCTCTAGTTAGTTGCAATATCCCTTTTTCCTCTTCTCCTCTCTAAAGAAGAGGCTGTAACGAACCTGGTATCGTGATTTCCAATAGAAGATTTCCTCAGTTCTGTCAATGACAAATAAAGAAAGCAATACATGGAGAGAGAGGAGAACACTGAAGGACTGATCCCAATGAACATTTAAAATAACCAACCAGAACGTTAAGAAATAAACAAGAAATCAGAAATTAAGCAACAGGGATTGGTTCCAATTTCAGAGAATATCATACTTGAAGATATTATTTGACACGGCAAATATGGCAATTAGCTTCTTCAGTAAACAACACGGATACTGGCCAACACATAAGTGAACCATTTAAGCAAATTGTCTCAACAATATGTATAAACCAAGAAAAAGAAAAAAAACTCCAGAACAAAACGGATTAATTCCTTCTAACCAGCAAAGGGAAAAACTTTTCAGTTTAACCTTTTAAATAATAAGTCCTACAAGGCTTCACCAAATTCATGTTTAAAGATTAGAGAATGAATTGGGGCAGATAATCAAAGAACGAATATGAAATTTTGGGAACAATTATCAGCAAAAAAATTTTTACCACTGACTTCAAGCAGAAAGATTTAAAAATGTAACTACTAAGATTTTAAGTTCTTAAATTCTCATGCTTCCATATTTTTTCAGAGGAAATAATTACCTTTGTAACCCAGAATAGTTGCGCCAGCCACGAAACCACCAACGGCACCATTCACAAAGTCTCTCTTCATCCTATACTTCTGCACTAATTGCTCCACGCCAATGTAGACTCCTCCAATTGCAGCAAAAGTCATCCCATAGTTTCCCATCATTTTTAAAGTTCTTAAAAGACCAGGAAGAGCAACATTTCTCTCAACACGGGGAACATCATACCAGGTCGCAACTATGGTCCCCCAGATAGTGCCAGCAACCAAGCCAGTTGTTGCACCCTTGATAGTTTTCATTGTTGGTGTATCCTCGTCCTCCAAGTACCTAAGCTCAGAAGGGTCCATGACTTGCTCTGCACAACAGTGAAAACTGCAAGAGATAAAGCAAGAGTTAAGTCTTGGATGACAATCAAACTGTCAGGGAGGAATGTAATTATGGTGAAATGCCATATAGGCATAACTATTCAAATAGAATAGGGAAAAAATACATGACTTATGCCTACATCATTTTGGTATGGATCCATGACGAAAAGTATAGACTTTCCTCATCATGAATGTCCACGTTTGTAAAAGTTCATAATTCTCCTCAAATTTCATATTTTATAGTAAGCCTACCATACATTTCTACAATACTTGAATTGAACGTTATATATGAGAAAAAGGAGAAGGAGCAGGAAACCACTGATTAAAAAACAAAAATGTATGCCATTGGCTGCAGCCAGAAACAATAATATTATTATCCTGTTAACATCATCGATTAAGATTAAAATTTACCATAAATTCATGTATATTTTTGAAACCAAGAGGAAAAGAAGAACCCAAATTATTTGGAGCTGCGCAGGCTGTTTAATGGCAGTGAGAGCAGTGAAGGTTCAAAATTATAGTCCAATAGTCAAAAATTCAGATCGAATCTCACGGTCACGGCTCAAACAAGTATTACATAAAAGATCACATTTAAAACCCTAAACGGATGCATAACATGATATGAATGGATTTTCGAAAGAGAATTGTCCTGAGTTGCAATGTTTAAAGGAAATAATAGTAATAGCAACACAAAAACTCACAGAAATGGAGAAAAAGGACGACAACCAGTGAGTAGAGAGAAGGTCAGAGCTCAATGGAAGGCGATGAGCGAAGATGCTTTGCGGTTTTTTTGCTCCTGTTGCCCTGCGGGGCCTTGGCCTGTCATCTGGTAACGTCACGTGTTACTCACGTGTCCAGATTATCAATTTGTTCCGGCTTGTTCTTTTTTCGATGGGAAGTCAAATACATGCAATCATACTTTTCTCATCTTAAATTATAAAATATTTTTAAATAAAATTTTATATATTAATAATTTTTATTAAATATATTTAATAATTTTATATTTTTAAAATATAAATATAAATTTTTAAAAATATTTATCATTTAATATATTAAAAAAAGACAGAAATTAATTATAGAGAGAAAGAAACAATAATATTAAAATGACGCATTTAATAAAATCTTAATCTACTTAAAGTAATTTATACTTTAAGATAGAAAAATCCTTCAAAAGTGCTCTATAATTTAAGATGGAAGGAGTAAAAAATAAAAGTTAGATAATAATTGTATTTAGGGAGGGAAAAAGGAGCAATAAAAATATCTAATGAACATATAGAGCTACACCAAAAAATAAACTTCTCACTGAAAGGGTGAAGAAGATACGCAATGTCATGTTTACAAACTTCCAATAAAATACTTTCAACTTCATCCCTTAACATAGTCCTAAACCAAAGGAAGTGAATCCACTCGAGGTCGTCTAAATCTTAATTTTGTCCTTTGCAGTATTAATGAATTCAATGAAGCACGCTACTAATGCATACAATTGAAATCCTTGCGAAATCACAAATGGGATTTCTTGAAGATCATGTCCTGCAAGTGAACTTTATCCAATTTAATTCCAGTTGCTATGAGGATTACTCTATTCTTCTTGAACTTCTGGCATTCTATCTTCTATTAATGTATTAGAGTATTAGATCTAATCTAAGCCCCCATAACAATTTGATCTATAATTCTTGATCTCAAAAAAGAGTTCTTATCGAGACTAAGAGCTAAGATTCTTGAAACTTGAAGAGTGAAGTCCAAATTGCAAATTATTTTTATGAAAACAATGACTCTTAAATTCTGTGTGACTTGATTGGGAGTAAGTTTGATTCTCTCATATAGAACTAGATTTCTGTTATGCCTTTTTAGATTGATCAAGGTAAAAATACTTTCAAGGAGATAAAACTCCCTACCTATGATCAGGGCATCTATAATTCTTCTGAACCATGGAATAAAACCATGTTCAGCTAAGGAAGAATAGAGATAGACAGGGCACCAAACCATATATCATTTGTGAAAGGGCATTTCACAAAAAGTATATTGAAGAGAGCCCAAAGCCTCACAGCCAAAACAATAAAGTAAAGAAGAATTGACATGATGAGCATGCAAAATATCCCTTCTAAGGAAGATGTTGCTTCCAAATAAAGAGAAGAGCCTTGGGAAGAATTAAGAAGAATAGCCTTGTTAGGCAATTTTCAAATAAAGAGAAGAGGTTTGTAAGGAAGATATAGCTTTCAAATAAAAGTCCAAATACCATCCACAGGTTGATTGGATGGTCTCTATCTTCCAAGTAAAACTACATATCCTTATTTCATTGCATGAAGATCATTTTTCTTAAATGAGCTTATCAGGAGACCTATAAAAAGATATTAGAATTGTTGTGATTTTCTTTGCTACTTCTTCATCATACAAATTCTTGACTAGATTAACATTCTATGGCACCAAGAATGAGAGTTTGGGACCATCAAATCAGAAAACCCTTGGAATTTATGAATTGAGTCCAAGTAAGCCTCATATTGGTCGCCACCAAAAACCTTGAGGAAGAGAAATAGAAGGTTCAAAGATGCCTTTTCCAAACTATGAAGTATTATAAGGCAATTTAGTGAATAATCATCGGGGTTAACAGAGTATTTCAACTTCAAAGTATTGCCCATAAGAGAGCGTGGTTCATAACACATGATACGCCAAACTCGTTTGGCTAATAAATCAAGGTTCATGTTCTTGGTATTTCCAATGCCCAGATCTCCAGATTTGATAAGGCAAAAGAGAGTTTCCTTTTTTGGTGAGATGAATATTCTTTTTACAATAATTGAAACCCTAGAAGTCAATAAGTCTAGCATCAATTTGATGATAGAGTTGCTTAGAAAGTAGTAAGCAGAAATGATGTATATATTACAAGGGGACAAAACTGGCTTGATGAAAATAAATCGATAAACTTGAGAAAATCGATTGGTTTTCTACAAGGGGATTCTCCTATTTATAGAATCCAAAACCTGATAAAAAAGTTATCGCTTTTATATTTGTCTGCATCAATCTAAGTCCCCAAATACTTTCCAAAGGAGTCTGACAAAGGGATTTCAAAAAGATTAAAAGTATCTTGCCGAAGCTTAGGCGGAATATTAGGGCTTAGAGCAAGACTGGATTTTTAATCTCCAAGCCAGACTAGAAACAAAAAGTCCTAAGAATATTTTTCATGGACACCACACCAGATTTGCTATATTCAAAGAAACTAGCAGAATCATTCGCAAACAATGAATGAGACACTGGAAATGATTGTTGACAAATCTTAGTGCCATGAAAGTCTCCCCTGTGCTCAAAGTGAATAAGAAGACAAGAAAGAACGTTCACAGACAAAATGAATGGAAGGGGTCTTCTTGTTGAATAATTTCTTTTAAGGTCAACTGTTCCAACTATTTTTTTTTTTTTGGTTAACTGTTTAGTGTTAGACTGTCAATCCTTCCCGTCTTTTTGACAAGCCATTAATATCAAGTGTAGGTAAATTAAATATCAAGTGTCAACACATTAATATTTGCAACCTGTAACAAATTTTTTGTTAAATTTAAAGTTATTATGTAAAAGTGAAGAATAATGAATTGGGAGGTTTTTTTTTTCCTCGTAACTTTTGTGTAGTGTAAAAATTATTGTCATCGGATATAATAAAACGAGATCTAACATCTCTTAATTAACAGACTAAATGAAAGAAAAACGGCTGGAAAGACCTTTTAATTGTACCATTTCAATTTGATTCCAAGTAGCTGATTAATGTTTTAATTGATAGTTGGTTGTTCCAATTAGTTGATTTTTTTTAACTGATTCCAATTAATTCGTTGTTTCTTAACGAAATGAATTCGCTCTTTTAATCAAGTCACAATTTCATATTTCATAATAAATCTTAATTAACGTTGGGCTTAACAATGGAAACGAGTAATGACGGTTAAGAATTTGCGGAAAACAAATGAATATGGCAAACTGGGGGATCCAATGAAGCACGATTATCAAATGAAGCACGATGCAGCAGCTGACTAATTGGCAGTGTTTATAAAATCAGATTGAATCGGATGACCGGATCGTTGACGGTTTGAATTTCAATTTAGTTCATATTTTAAAGATTGAGCTGAGTTAGACCGTTTTGAATTGATGGTCAAACCAAAAATCAAATCTAATTTTTAAAAATTAAATTATTTAAATTTTTTTTTATTTTTATTAATTTTTTTTAAAAAATATCACATAGTTTATTAAGTCATAATAAACTTACAATATTTAATTTTTTTAAGTTAAGTAATAATTTTATTTGTATTTTTTATATTTAAATTATTATATATATATATATATATTTATTTATTTATTTATTTGATTATTTACTTCACCCGATTGTATGATGCAGACCGTAAATCGCTGATTTTTTTTTTGATTCGATCCCGTTGTAAAAACTTTGCTAATTGGTGCTGTTGGAGGCTTCGGCGCGGGCGCAGTGAAAGTGAATATAGCACATAAACAGATATTGCGAATCCTCGGTCTCTTCATCGTCGACCCGTTTCCCGGAAAATGCACACTTCCGATGATATTCGCAACCTCCCTATTGATATCACATTTTCTCGTCTTCTAGGTGACGAATTCATCCATAACTTTCCCCCCCGTCAACTAAATCTAACTGTCTGATTTTTTTTTCTTGTTGGGTTGGCTGATTCGACTGGTCCAGAACTGATTTTCGACTTGGTTGGGTTGCAGAATGGTTGGTTGATCGGAAGAGAATACCCGCGGATTGGCGGAAACGATTGACGGCGATACGGGCCCGCATATCAAAGGAATTCTCATCGCTTCCAAGGGATGCTGATCCCTATCTTCATACCCTAGACCCTGAAGGTATGTGTATTTGGTGCCATGTGCACGATGAAAATTATGCTTAGTTTATTGAAGATTGGTGATTTATGTTTTTGTTTTGAGCATAGATCAGTAGGTTGTTTTTCTCGTGTTCCTAATGTGTTCGCTGATATCATAACAAAACAAAGTAGATGAAAAAACACCTTAATGCTTTTGCTGGAGGATGAACTTACATTAGATGGAATTAAAAGCAACCTCAAACCATTTCCTGGGAAAGAAAGGAAAGGTAAAGGCAACTTCAAAGCCTCTGGCTCAGGCCTGGCATCTTTGGTGTTCCCTCCGTCATATCATCCCATAAAGCTGATATTTATAACTGTTTTATATCATCAAGCGGCTGGCTATTTTCAGGGATCGGTTATTTGGAGGCCAGACAGATATATGATATCCTCTTAACGTCTACTCCAGAGAGCCGGAATATATTTGGCCGGTTATCCGGTGCTGCCGTAAGATAGTTCTCTCTCTTTCTTCCCCTCCCCTCACTATCTAAGCCTAACTCCTCACTCCCCAGCAAGTCTGAGATTATTGTTTTCATGCTAAATTAAATTCTTGTACTCTATAACATATTACTCGGGCAGGGTGCATGGGAAGCAATCGTGCGTTCTTTTGAGAAGGATAATCTTTTCCTAGGTGAGGCTGCACTGATTATGGTTCAAAATGTAAACTATGAAATGTAAGCATGAAAACATCAAACTCGTTAATGAATATTATATTTCTTGATTATTTTCGTTTACTTTTTTTTTTTGTAACTGGGTATTTGTTTTCAATATGAAGTCCTTATCAGAGAAAACAGGTGCAAAAGATTCAACAACAGCTAGCAGAGCTAGACCGCAAAGAAGCTGATATAAAGAGAAGTGCAGCTCTATCAGCAGCCAAATATGCTGAAGCTTGTCAAGAGCTGGGCTTACAGGTCACAATCATGAAGTCCTTTAGTGTTGGTGAAATTAATTTATTTTTTGTTCCAAGGAGATAATATAGTTAGATATCGTTCAGGGAAAAAATGTTAGATCAGAGCTTTTGGAGACAGCAAAATCACTTCCAGGCACATTTAGAAGAATTTTGGAAGTTATAAATAGTGACAACATATCTCAGGCGGTGGAGTATTACTCCAATTTTGTCAGAGATGCTCACACTGAAAAAGATGTAAGGAAAAATAGGCAATCTTTAACATCTTATACCTTTTTAGAAATGGTATTATTACAGGGATAGGTCCTGGGTTCATATGGTTCATTTCATACATTAACCTGAATCATAAACATGATTGTAGAAATCCTCAGGAACTGTTCTACAGAACTTGAGGAGCATGCGAGAGCTTCCCCCATCCTTGAATGTTTCTGTTGGTTCTGAGATTCTTGGTGCCAATACTGTTAACTTGAGTGAAAATGATGTAAATATTGCAAGAAGTAATACAGAAGTTGCTGCCCCTAATATTGACTGGGACATTTCTGTGGAGAGTTCGCAAATTGATTGGAACATTGGAACTGTGGAAGAAACAGATGATGCGGGTAATGGTCTGGGTCCTTATGAGATCATTCATGCCAGTGATATTGTACAGACTTCACCAACTGATGCAGCAGGCTCCAATTTGGCAACACCAAACAAAGAACATGGCTTGGATCTTGATATATCTTGGGATATTAGTGTTGAGACTCCTCAAGTGGATGTGATTGATGATGTCAGTGCCTCAAATGTGCCATTGGATGATCAGACTTCTTTTCCAGACAGCTCAACTAATTTGACTGAGAATAGAGAAGAAAGGAGCCAGCTTCTAGACACAGAGTACAGAAATAAGATTCTTGATGATCTGTATGAGGTATACTATATATACGTGCACTTGAATTTCATTAATACTTTTGCTCTTGCTGCTGCTATTATTATTTTACTTTGTTAGTTCAATTTTTAAATTTTGCACACATGATATATCTGATAGACTGATACACATAATTCTTGCCAATATTGCTTGTTTTTCTTTCCCTCTTTTTGCAAGGCAACAGTCATCCAGTACATGATGGACTTGTTAGTTTGATATTGTTGTTTTTATGCCCACGCTAAATCTTTAAAAACATTTACGATGTTATATGCCATCAGTTGAAAGCCTTTTTAACCCAACGATTGGCTGAGTTGAGGAATGAGGAAACTTTGTCCCTGCAAAATCAAGTCCAGGCAGTTGCTCCCTTTGCCCTGCAACAGTATGCTCCTGATGCCATAGAAACAATGCGATCTGATGTTCAACTGGCAATTTCATTGTTGACAAATAGGAAGACAAGGGATTTAATTTTGATTCTCAACTCCAAAAGGTTGCACTTCATATATCAAACCTAATATGTCATGCTCATTTTTATTTATCCTTTCTTTACAATCAACTACTTTTTACAGATTGGTTTATTATAATTTGTCAAAACTAGTTATTTTTGTCTACTCTTTTCACATATGTTTTCTTTAATTTGTTTTGAATTTTTGCTTGTGAAGTTCATGGAGCTGAATCCTGATTGTATCACATTTTAAGCTCTATGATAACGAAATGGAGCTGAAATATGATCCCTGGAGAGAGAAGCTAATTTATGAAGTTAAAATTTACTCATTCAATTAGTCTTTCCAACACGTAGATGGTGGTTTAAACTTAAAAAGCAAAGATTATTGAAGTGATTGTTTTTAGAAAAAAGGGGCGCACAAACTGGCTTATTGTCAAACCTTAGTTAAATAATTCAGGTAAAAAAAAAAACTGTAGTTAAAAATTAAAATATAACATATCTAGAAATTGGTTATATATATCTTTTAACAGAACAGAATTAAGAATATACAGGTATAATCTTCCGCTACTGATTGCATTGCTATGTGCATAGATGGTGTTCTATTGTTTTGTACATTCAGATTCTGGTTTTATCCAGTTTACTAATTTTTTATAAGCTGAACGACTGATGAATTCAAACTTCAAAGTGCCAGTTTAAGTGATTAATTTGTTTTTGATCTTTGTGTTTGTGGTGTTGAGCTGAAATACAGATTCCTAGACAGATTAGTCAACTCATTGGTGGAAAAGAGGCATCATGAAATGAAGTTGAAAGAAGGGTTGAAGGACCTGGCTACCAAACGGATGGAGTTGCAGAACTCTTTATCCTCATTGTGGCCAAAGCAAGTGAGTTCCTTTGTCATGTGCTTGATCTTCCTTTTAAGTCAATATATTCTGAGGAAGTCACATACTATAGAAATGACATTTTTTTAAGCCCTCCACCTGTGTCTTATCTAATACTAGATACGATGCCTCTTGGCATTGAGTAATATTACAAAGTCATCATTTCCTGGGAAACTTTGGAGTTCAAGGTCGTAGTAAATTTTTCTCAACTTCACCATGGAAAAACCACGTGCAGCTGCAATAGAAATGGAAAAAAAGTCTAGAGTGATCAGCTGCCAAGCGTAGACACCCCCCACTCCAAAATAAATGATAAACGAATAAAAAAGGATTTAATTGCTGTGTGGAACGCAGGATGGAGCTCTGGCAAAGACAAGGGAGCTGAAGAAACTGTGTGAGGATACACTTTCATCCATTTTTGACGGAAGACCAGTAAATTTAATTGGAGAGATCAACGCTCTGCTGTCTGCTGGCCTCGGAGCATGAAGGTAGCCTTTATGAAATTAGCTTAAGGAAGGGACGTTTTATTGGTTAACATTTCTTTCCTGCTTCTACTTAGCATCAATTTCTGGATAATGCACAACCCCCTTTTGGTCTGCTATTAGTCTTGAATTCTACTGATTCTCATGACATGGATGGACAGCGATGTATAAACCCCTTTTTGGTCTGCTGTTAGTCTTGAATTCTACCGATGCTCATGACAAAGATGAACAGCGATGTATATCGCTTATCGCACGACATAAGCGCCTGATTTAGATCGAAGGGAAAGTGGTCGGACGCTTTCATGGGCAATTATTGCGTTACATATAGAGAACTGTCTTGCAAAATGAAAACAGGGAACGTATTTGTTAGAAGTAGGAAGACATGGAAGCAAACTAAAGACGCGAGTTTCCAATAATAGACGCATATAGTCGTGAACTCTCTCAAACATGGGTATTCCACAGGCTCAATGAAATGAAAAGAAAAAAATATAGAAGTTATTATTCTTAATTTGAAATAAATTAAAAAATGAAAATAAACTTATAATTAATAATTATAAAATTATAATAGATATTACGCAAACAATTAAATATTTTTTCTTGCTTATTGCATGTCCCTGTTTAAAAAGTTCAAAAAAATCAGAAATACTTCTAGCGTAGTGCTTTTATCAAGATTGAGTAAGGTGTAGTGGCATGTTGCGCAATTGGAATTCACGGAGGTACATGTCTAAGCTATGCAATGAGAGCAGAGTATGCTGCATCAACAATCCATATCAGAGAAGGATTTACAGTTTGGAAGAAGTCTTTGACTGCAGAGCAAAAATCAAATGAAGTTTCTAGCAATCGATGTCATCTGCATCTGTCAGGCGGATACGTAGCTATATGCGGGGGAACCCAGAAAGCGAGTATTGGTTGAACGGAAAGACTTGTCAATTGGATCCAAGTCAGTGATATCAGCTTCTGCACCACCAGTCTTGGATGTGCCCATGTTAATCTTTCGCGAACAGGTTATAAGAGAGTCAACCACCTCGGACATCAGAGGTCGGAATTCCTTCGCGGGCTGTATGCAGAGGGTGATGATATCGGCATAATGAGAAAGAGCTTTGGTTGAAACAGTCCCTTTAATTCCGGGATCCACCATCTGTTCCAAACTCTCACTGTCATGAAGCCTCGATGATGCCCATTTCCCCAGATATTGTCCCTCCCTTGGCCTCGAACTGTGTTCAAATACAGACATCATTCACCATTCAAGAGAGAGGGAATACCCGCATTCAAACAAATGAAAGAAACGTCAGGAGAAGAACTTACTCGTCGTAAGGTTTCTTTCCCGTTAATAATTCCAGAAGCAACACCCCAAACGCATAGACATCACTCTTCGTGTTGCTAACTCCTGGTTGGCCATGGTCTGGTGCAATGCAGCCTGCGTCCTCAGTTGCAAGTTCAGAACCCTGTTTCCAACAGTCACCAAGGTAATCAATACACAAAGTAGTCACTCTTTCTTGCTATATTGCGGGAAAATTGTCCGTTTCTGGTTCGTTTTGCAACATCCGACAAACAAAATCATTGTAAAAGCTTTTGTTATGCTAATAGAACTATGACTTCCGCCATGACAGCGTTGTCTACCGTCTCTTTCAACGTGAGGTTGTTTGGGGCAGGAACTTACTCTGACTTTGTTGTTCGTCAGCGGTCTCAAAGTAGCTAGGCCACAGTCAGAGACACAAGGCGCCAGATTCTCGTCGAGAAGGATATTGGCAGCCTTCAAGTTGCCGTGGACTACAGGAGGGGAGAACGTCGAGTGCAAATAGCTGAAAGAAAGCATTGCATATACATATACATATATATATATATAACCAGGATTTAAGCCAATAAATGGCTAGAAAATTAAAAAACAGGATATGATCTGTAAATGTTCGAGAACTCACTCCAAAGCCTGGGCAACACCAAGGGCAATCCGGAGACGGAGGGCCCACGATAAAGGCTTGTAGGCCTTCATGTGGAGAGCATCGTCCAGAGTTAAGCTTCTAACATAATCGTAAACAAGAAGATGCTGCCCGTGCTCCATACAATAACCATTAAGCGCAACGATGTTGGGGTGCCTCAGACGGGAAGCGGTGGAAACGACATCCAAAAACTTTTCCTCTTCGTGGAAAGACAGGCCCGCCATGTTGATATTCTTCAAAGCCAAAGTCTATAAAGAGAAGAAGGACCGAGATGAAGACTGAAAGCAACAATATCAAATTGTAGTGTTTGAAAGATACATTAAGATCGTACTTGGCCATTTGGAAACACGGCTCTGTAAACAGGACCCAAAGATCCCTCTCCCAAAAAGTTGTCTTCACTGAAGCTGTCTGTGGCTAACTGAAGCTCTCCCACTGAGTAAACTTTTGTCCTTCCGGAGAATCTGCATCTCTTGGAAAAACTTCTTCTTGACGTGGCATCTGTTCTGTGATGGGGCAAGGGAGGTAATCGCCTTGGACCCAAAAGTGATGCAGAATTAAATGGCGGGATTCGTGGGCTTTCTTCTGGCGTGGTAGGAGAGACTTCTATCATCATCAGAAAGAAAGTATTATAATCCCCACTAAATAGAAATTGGTCCTTGAAACGCTAATAATTAAAATATAGTACTTGGCCACTGATTACTGTTAAGGTATGGAGGATTCAATCATATAGGAGCGTGCTCTAAGATTACATCATCATCTATTTGCATTTCTCGAGATATTACCTATGGTTGCAATAGTTGGATGAGCTTTCAATGAGCTATGGCTGCTTTCTAAGCTTTTGAACCTCTGTAAGCGGATTGCAATGAACAGCGCTACACCTGTAGCTATTAGCGCCACCCCACCAACCATTAAAGCTACTCCTCCAGCAGTCATAAATTTCTTCTTGTGCCCACTTACTTTGCTTTTGCGAGAGGAATAGTTCTCGATGGCATTTGCCTGATTCGTGGGCGGGCGACTAATGTTGTACTCAACTGGTGCCCTATCCAAAGGAAAAACCCAGGGAGGAGAATTGGCGTCTGCACGGAACTTATTACTTCCGATCCTATTTGGGATTAAAAGATGGGTGATTATTGAACGTCATATGTATGTACTTAAATGCAAAAGCAATAGGCACAGAAAGCTGGCATGCAAGGAGGAGAATCTCCATGCTCAACTGAGAAGTTGTCACTAACCATAAATTTGGTATGTACTGAAAGTGCTGCGGAATAATGCCGCTGAATAGATTACCTTGAATGTTCCTGACAACAGAGACAAGTAGCCATATAATATAACAGTAAACAAAACTTCTAAAAATGTTACAGATAAGATAACTTACAAGTCTGTAAGAGGAAGGTCAGCCAGATATGTGACCGATCCAGTGAAGTTGTTATTTTGCAAGAACCTGCACATAAAGCCCCGTGCCAACAGATTAAAGCATCTCATTGACAATAACATAAAGTTGTGCTCGCTATTATCAAGTCTTGCGACCAAATGAAGAATAAAAAGTGTGGGGAAATAAGGGAACTTACAATCTAGTAAGGTTTTTCAAGGAACCAAATGAACTGGGTAGATCTCCTGTGAAATTGTTATACGAAAGGTCCCTAAATAAAGGAATTTATCCTTTGTGAGATGTCACTCTTAAATGTGAACAGACGAGTCAAAATATTTACCTCTCTTTTTCACAACTTAATGAGGGCAAACTTTACTACAAATGGTTTTGTCAGTTTTTTGCTTAAACTTTTTTACATTTCAACATATTCTTTACCATTATAAGCAGCTCCCTTTTCCTTGTCTCTTAAAGATCACATGGTTTTTCCAGGAAAAAAAAAAACGAGTGAAATGACAATAAGCTGCGTTATGTTATTTAGATTTAGATGTATATTTTGTCTATGATTTTAGTTTTGATATTTGCAAATGTTGTTTGTTAATCCTTCATTCCTCTTATTTCAATAGAAACTCGATATTGAAAGAACTAGATGATGAAGACATACATCTCTCTGAGATTATCTAGGCCTGTAAAAACATTGCCGATGGGTCCAGATAACAAATTGTGGCTTAGATTCCTGTAAGAGTAGATAATTGTAATGGTTTGACAGATATTAGAAGCAATCACTCAGGCATGTTCAAAAGAGGTGGGAGAAAATAAATTGTAAACTTGGCCCTCTATTGAGAATTTTTAAGTCTAAATTAAATTCATGCAACTCACAAATGTCGTAGTCTTTTCAGCATAGTCAATGAGTGAGGAATATTTTGGCCCAAATAGTTGCAAGCCATGTTTCTGCAACCAAGAATCATCAGACCAACATATGCTGGTGAGGCTAAAATTACGATTGTGAGAAAGCAATAGGCCAGACAGAAAGCTAGCTCGACTTGGCTTACATATGGGTGGCATTCGGGGGTAAGATGAATGGTATTTCCCCTTCTATGTTATTGGAGCTGACATCACTGGGAAACCAGACTAAAGTAAGTACATCGCAGATCTTCTTGATAAAGAATCGAAATACCATATAATTAATTACTCACAGCATCTTCAAATTATGTAGATGATGGAGCTGGCTTCCAAGATGTCCTGTGAGATTCAATCCTTGAATTTTGCTGCATGACACGAAGAGACAAAGCAGGGGATCGTGTTTATAATTAACTTCATGAAAGATAAGAACATCGTCTATGTGGAGTTGGTGCATTACAGGTGCACGACTGACGATCCTGAACATGCAACTCCTGTCCAAGACTCCTCACAAGGATCTTCAAGATTCCATTTTTCCAACACCGGCGGATAGTTCAATGTCTTGTATAGATCCCGGAGAGCTGTGACTGTTTATCCAAGAGTACAAGAAATACAGTTTAATGAAGACGAAGAAAGCGACTAAAAGTGTGGTACCCGCATTTAGTTCAGGGGAAAATCATAGACTCTTATACAATTGCCTTATGTAATGGATTGTGTGGTTCTTTATCAAGACCTTCATCTTCTAAGTTATCTTGAAATTATAAAAGTTCTCTTCCTCTGTTTTTTCACCCTCCTGACATGAAACCTTTTCGTTCAGTTGAACAGGTCATGGTTTTAGAATACTAACATAAAGGCATAACAAATCTTCAAGCCAAAATGCCGGATATTTTCCTTAAGGACCCACCTTACGTAGCATGAAATCAGAAAATTAGGATATTATATATTAGATTATGAATTTGCAACAAGTATATGCATTTACCGTCAGCCGGATCAGTGGATGCGAGACCCTGGGAAATCAACATTGCGGAGAAGACAATGATAATCAGATGCATATAGTGGCACTCGCAAGCCATTTTCTCGATCATCAGCGTATTTGGGGAGTGTACTCGTTTCTTTCCTGGAAAGAATGCCGTTTGCAACCCGAAATCAGACTGGGAAAGCGACGAAAAGAAAAGAAAGAGAAAATGGTCTAATTTCACGCATTTCTTACTTTAATGACACTACAATAAAGCCTAACAAATATACGAAAAAAATAGAAAGCGGAGTCCAAACTTGGAATCTGTTTACCTTTACTTCTGTGTTCTCAGTTCCCAAACAGAGATTTTCTGAAGCCGAAGCGCAGATGACAAAGATTCAGAGAAAAAGAGTCTAGTGGCAACGAAAGACGTGAAGGAAAGAAAAGAAAAAAAAAAAATCACCTCTTCTGAGCTTTTATGTTTCTGCAATTCTGCTGCTGCTTCTTTTCATTTTATTCAAGCTTCCGTGCGAGCGGCGTTTTAACTGTTTATTTTCTTTCTAGTAAGATGGGGTCCACTCAGCTGAATTCGTTAGGTTCTGGCGCGAAACAAGCTACTAGAGGCCTGTCACGACAAAATACATCATGGGCTTTTGTAAATGGGCTGGATTTGGTAAATGGGCCTATGGAGGTTTTAAAGGTATCCAAATCGCCGTCTCGCTGGGAGGCCGGAGGCATGAGGGGAGGTGACAAGGAGAGCAGAAACGGAACTCAAGGGAAAGAGCAAGATGAAGACTACATGGGGGATCTCTCTCAGTTTCTTCCTTCAGAAGTGTTGGGTTCTTCTGAATCTTCTTCCAGAAAGGTATTTAATTCCATTTCGGCCCATGTGTCAGCTGTATTTTCGTTTTTCCACGGTTTTTGGAGAAAATTTAAGGATTCAAAGCGACTGAAATATGAAAACATGCATTGGGAGACGCATCTTTTCTTGGTCTTTGGAGATGGGAAGAAATGCAGTAAAACCTGGGAATGCATTAACTGGCTAAGTTTCGCTTCCTAGACTGAGTGGTTGTATCATCCGTGTTGCAAATTTCCTATAACCTCCTTCTTCCCCTGTTTCTCAACAGTGTTGGGAGAACATGATTTTACAATTTAATTCCCCGAAGAATTTAGCCGTCTTGATGCTGTGCTACATCGCGCTATCTGAACATTATGGATAACCAAAGCAATTAAGCTGCCAGAATTATGTTTCTAAAAGCCCATGAAATGCTAGTAATTTTAATTTCTTATGCCTTGTTGATTTCAGGGAGAACGACAACTGAGGAACTTGTAAAAAAAGTTAATAATAGATATAATTTCATCATAATTTAAGTTCTCGAATTCAGAATTCATTTCAGCACTGATTTTTTTTTTTTAACATTTAATTTGATATTAACCTTCCTATGAGATCTTTCGTTATCATTCTCCCGCTCATAAGGAGGTTAATACTAAATTAAGATCTCATTACTTTGACCCAAAAAAAAAAAAAAAAGATCTTATTGCAACTGAGGTTGTGCTCATTATCTTATATTTTAGCCTTGAATTTTTTTTTTTTAAATCTTAATGTGGTATTAGCCTTCTTTGACAATACCTGCAAGTTTAGGTGTTGAATATATATATATATATATATGAAATTGTACATATTTAGTGTAACATAACGTTTGGGAATATAGGATCGGATGCAGAAGTATATGCTATTCTCTTTGGTTAAATTGGTCTTTCGTTGAAGGATCCAGCAATCATGATTTGTTAAGGACAGAAAACTGCCAACCTACGAAGCATAAGCAATATAGAAAATGAACTGTGCCATGTGTCACTCACTCACTTGGAAATTACATATTTCTTTATCTTGCGCTGTCACCGCCTATGCTTCGCAGCTGATAATTTGCTAACCCAGGCTATGAGTAATTCTACATAGAAAAAATAATGGGAGTGAAAAAGTGGAAGTTGAAACTTATCTTCCTGTATGGCGGTCTGTAAAATATACAAACAAGATCATATCTAAGCATAGCATCATGCCGTAGTTTTACTAGGTCAAGAGAACTTCCAGCACTATATTTTAAAAAAAAAATAATAATAACAATAGCCCCTTTCCATGCTATAGACCTCTGACAAGAAAACCCCAATGATCAACCCTTCCAAGAAGCAGTTTAATTATCTTAGCTGGCAAGAACGCAGAAAACTTGAGAGACAAAAAAAGCAACAAGAGGAGGATGAGCAAACATTAGCGAAAGTGGAAACTCCAATTCCACAGTCAAACATTGGATTTAAGCTGCTCAAACAAATGGGTTATACGCCTGGCTCTGCCATTGGAAAGGTGGGTTCAGGCAGGGCTGAACCTGTTGGAATTGATATTCGACGGTCAAGAGCTGGTATAGGATTAGATGATCCCCACAAGGAGAAAAGGAAAAGGGAGGAGATGGAGATGGAAAGGAAAAAGAGGAAAGAAGAGGCACTGATGGAAGAATTTGGGTTTAGGCAAAAGTCACAGTGGCAGAGTAGGAGGGTTATAAGCAATTTCAGCAAGGCAAAGGCTGCTCTTGACCAGTTAGAGAACAGGGAAGTTGTAGCAGAGAAGAATGAAGAGGAGGAGGGTGATGTTGACGAAGAGGATGGGGAAGAAATAACAGAAGAGGTATGTTACTTCATCCTATATTTTCCAAGTGAAACTTCTTTAAGCTAGTTTGATTATTGATATCTGTATTATTTGAGAACAAGTGTCATTTATTGAGCTTCAAGATGAAGCTACATTGGAACATGAGTAATAGTATGACTGATATGCAGATTTTGTGCATAGCAACATGTCATCTATTATCTTTTTCCGACACATGCATGGAAGGTCGTCTGACTTGTGTATCAAGGCATGAAATAGATTGGGTTCAAAGCTAACTCAAATGATACATGATGATTGAAAACTTACTGCTTTTATGCTGTCAGATGTAACGCATACTGACACTTGGCTTGCCCCAGTAATTCTAATTGAAGTGCTTTAGGCCGCTAAATTGGCCATCCATTTCTAGACGTGTGTGTGTGTATTTAAATTCAAAGTCATGCAGTTGGGGAAAAATGCATGTTACATTTACCTGAATGACATTTCTTATTGAAATATTGAACTTGACTAGACTATGGATTAGGACTGTGAACTTTTCCTACCTTAGTTCACTCTTTGAATTTTCTTGAGTTTGGCTTATTTAGAGATATTGTGTAACTAAGCCAAGAGTGAATTTGAGATTACAAATTGATTCTAGTTTCACCTTTCCCCAAACAAAATGAGAAAAAGGTTTCTTTTTCCCTTTGGGCTGAATAAGTAGAGTAAATAGGAATTGACTTTGACTTTTAAACTGATTGAATTAATCATTAATGTTAGCTCTGCTAATATGGATTAATGTCTTTATTCTTTATAAACAGAATTAGGATCGTGACCATTTTTTATTGTGTGTGTGTGTACGGTTGGAGATTAGGCTCAAGGCAGATTTATGGGCTGATTAACAGAATAATTTAAATGAAAAGGATTGATTCTGAATTTGATGCTGTCCTCATTTGAGTTGCTTGCTTGAGAATTAGATTGATTCTTTCTATTGCTTATTGCTTGTTCTGCTATTTTTCCCACTAATGTTGTTGCTATTTACATTTTATTTTCTTTAAAATCGTTTCTGAATTACTTAATTTCACCTCCCTTCATGTAACTATTTTGATGACGAGGGTGTGATGTGAATGTAGGATTTACAGGATGCTCTGATGAAACTGAGGGATGACCATCAGTATTGCCTCTTTTGTGGGTGCAAAGTAAGCAAACGCAGGATTTATGTTTGTAGTGGCTGTTCAAAAATATAAGAAACTTCAATCATATGAAGTTACAACTCAAATAATTTTAGAAACCCAGTCTCTAGTTCTTTTATTTGATTTTTTTTTTTTTTAACATTGATCAGTATGAATCAAGGGAAGCTCTTTTGGCTAACTGCCCTGGGACCAATGAAGATGACCACTAAACCAGTAAGTTCAAGATGCGGACAAGTTCAGGTTTTTTTTCCGCCTGTTGTGTCGAGAGTCTCAATATGTGCAAATGCAAATTTCATTGGAGATGGATCAACGTGCTTCTGGTGTCTCGACTGATCAGTCTTTAAGGCCATTCCTGTGCGTACCGATGAAAAAGCAGAGCCTCGAGACGGCCATCATGTGTGAAGACTAACACTGAAGAATTGGCCTCACTTGCGACCCCACCACGTCATGGGACCATTTTATGGACATTGTAGATTTCCATAGGTTGGAATATACGTCAAGAACATTGTATTCCTCATGGCATTTGTATTTTGAGAGCCATGTTTTGACTTGAACGCCTCCAGTACTTGCAGAGCTTCATTTCAACCATTGTAAGGAATAAAGCCCTTAAATTGTTACTGTAACCATTCAACCAAAATTTGAATTGCTAGGATTGGAAAGTGCGACTTTCCTCATGCAATATGTATGGAGGAAAATAATTTGCTTGCATAAAATAGAATTTGTTCACAATTCTGACTATTCAATTACCAAGAAGTTCCCGAGACATGTCATAAGGAACTTGTTCATGTATAAGAATCTTGTCCAGTACTTGACTGCGAGTAAAACTAAAAGCTGGCAATACTAAAGTTTTCTCTTTCTATGAATATGAAGCTGGCAACACGAAAATTGTCAGGCTTGAATGGAAGAATTTTGGGACAATTCCATAGGAACAAAAATAAAATAAACAACAGTATATAAATTTCTGTACCATTTGCCCCTTGGACGCTGGCAGCATAAAAGAACCAATTCCTTTGAAAGTCAACCGCTATAAATCATTTACACGTCGGATTAAAGTTCACTGTAAATTGAAATTTTAAATTAAAATTTCAATTTTCCTTTCTTATTTACTTAAATAAAGATAAAAAAACACATAATCCCAAGAACCTGAGGTTGAGGCAGCCGACAACTGGAAGGGATTTGTGCCACGGGCTGTCCTCTTCATCACTAGTAATGCTGGTAGTGCTACTACCCCCACTATATGTTGGGAAAGATGCATATAAAATTCAATTTAAATATAGATATTATCTAATATCTGACAGTAGGGGTGTTCACAGGTTCGGTTTGGTTTGGTTTTGGACAAAAACCAAACCGAACCAAACCATTCGGTTTACTGATAATTGAGACCTGATCGGTTTTTATGAAGTTCGGTTTGGTTCGATTTTATTTTCGGTTTGGTTAAGGTATTGATCAAGTTTTAATACACTTGTTTAATTTTTTTTTCCTTTTCTCCATCTTCATAATGGTGCTATGTACTAAAATTAAATTTCATTCTTTTTGACTCCTTTTTTTCATGAATAGAGGTATAAAAATATAATAAAATTTCAATGTGATAACAATAATTAATCATAAAAATTGATATAAGTTTTTAAAATTAAAATTATTTAATATTATGTATTTTCATTAAAATCCTTTGAAAATGTTTATCTATGTATCTATATTTTAATAAATAATGAAAAACTTATTATACAAAATTTAAAACAAAATATTTCTTATAGATAAATTGAATGCTGAGGCTTTTAGGTTGTAAATAATTAAATGATGATCATAACATGATTATTATAATTACTTAATATTATGCATTTTCATTCAAGTATTTTAAAAATATTTATTTATTACTATAAAAAATTCAAAACAAAATACTTCTTGTAGATACATGGTTATATATTTTATAAATAAATAAATAAAATTTTTTTAATCAAGTTTGGTTCGGTTTGGTTCGGTTTCTAGTACTCAAAACCGAACTTGAACTGAACCAATCAGTTTTTATATCATAAAAACCGAAACAGACCTGATTATTGTTCGGTTTTTCGGTTTTTGTCGGTTTGGATTGGTTTGGATCGGTTTTGAACACCCTTATCTGACGGTCAGTAATTCGGAGTAAAATACTCTCATGGATTTCATCCTCCAAATTACTAATCTAACAAGTCTGAAAATATAAATGATGCTCCGTCAGTTTGCAAACCAATGCAAGCAAAATACAAGATTTCAGTCTGGCTTTTAGCAACAGAGCCAGATTGTCTGATTTTCTTGACTTAATCTTGTAATCTCATGGAGGTTTAATTGCAAAATAAAGCCTAGAAATCAAAGAAACAATCAAAGGGACCAGTGCATCAGCTGAGAAGACTCGTAGGCCTCGGATTGTCGATCAACATATTGCCTGTCAGGTTGTGGCATCACAAGCCCACCAGGAAGTTCACTATTGTTAGACAGTGAAATCGGAGCCGCACCAAGATCAGGGACAACTACATCATCATGCAAACAAGTGTCAGGTTCAATGCCATTGAAAGACCCCGAGGCATTTGAAAGGTGATGCATGGGAGCGCCATGAGAAGATGCAGCAAGTTGTGTGATGGATGTCCCTTCGAAACATAAGTTGTTCACCCCAAGAGCTGGTAGTGTGTTTCTGAAGCCCCATGTTTGATTTGACAGAAGAGAGAGAGCACAGCTAGTGTCTGCAATCCCAGCAAAGCATTCCCCTAGATGGCTGGGACCAAAGCTGTTTATGCTGCCCATCGAACCTCGCAAGAAGAGTTCAGGAAGCTGCAAGTTGCCTTGCCATGGAGTTGTTGAGCTTTGATTCCCTGAAACTTGCTCTGTTGATGTTGATGCCAGAGTTGGCTTACGGTATGCAGCAAATTCCATCAGAAAGCCACCAACTCTGCCCCGGTTCTCTGTCAAAGCAAGTGCCAAATATCTAGATTTGCTCTCTAACCAGGATAAGCAAAAGTTGAAATTATTGATGGCTTCTTATAAATCTTATTTTATATGTTAATTAACATATTAATGCCTAACCAAATACAGCTGAAGAAAATCTGGCATAGGGAGAGATCAACAAGGAGCTGGGTTGGGGCTTTCGCCGACGTTCATTATGGCCTGCAAGTCGCCTGCGGCAACTTCGTTTTTCTTGATCAAATTCAGTAAGCTGATGAAATCTGGACAAGGCTGTAAGCAAGATATTAGCTTTCTGAGATGAATAAAACTTTACGTAAGAGAACATGGGATTTAAAACATGTTGACAGAGACAGTTACTAAATCACAAGGCAAAGTGATTATTAAACTTGAAACTGTCATTTTGGAGTCCAAATAGCAAATAGAACATAATAAAACAAATCCAAGTAATAAAGTCAGTACAAATCGAACATGTCAAGCTCCAAATTAAGTTAGTTATAATAAAGACTTGACAAAGCCCCCTTACTCAAGAAATGGCATGGAATCCACTGTTTCAACGCAAATGGATCCAAACTCCAGCAATGGCATCCGAACTGAAGGACCACGCATCAACATGTTAAAACTGATAGACTCCAAAAACATTCGAATTACACAAAAATTTCCAGGTTGCCATAACTAGAATGGAATGTTTTTAGGCTTAATTACGGGAATCAAATATAATTGCTCAAACAGAACGCGCACAGCCAGACAGATTCAGTTCTATTTGTTCACCGTTATTTTATAATGATCAGTGGTCTCAACTTGCAAATAAGGGAGTGATTTCCTTTGATAAAACCCTGGTTTTGCTGCGGACTAGCCTCGAGAAGGCATTACATGACTTTTCCATGGCCTTGCGGGAAAGAACGTTTTAACCAATGCATGTTACTGCATACAGAATAATCGATAATAGGGACAATAAAAATGACAGAAAAACACTTATCTATGTACCTACAAAAAAAGAACTCTTAGAACAATAATCTGGATATGCTTAATATGGCATATACGACTAAACAGATAACCAGAAAACTCAGAAAATACAACATAAAACGTATACAACTAATGCACACAAGTCGGAAACATGAGCCACTCCCCCAGATTATAGCATTTATATCACTGAGCCATACACCGAAAAAGCCTCGAGTGGCGTCGTTTCCATTTTAATAACCAAGAACTTGGAAAACAGCCAATGACATGGTAAGAAGAATGGGCGAATATTAAAATATCGAAGGAAGGGTAAGGCACAGAACCTGCTGCACTGCTGGCAAAACCTCTGTTCCAGACCAGCGACAATGACTTTAGGGGATTTAGAGTGAAAAATACAGACTTTATGCCTGGAATAGTAAGGCTTGGCATCACTCAGATCTACGCTACAGCACTCGACCTGACACCTTGGAGGCCGAGCTCCTTGAAGAGTACCGCTCCTCCCCTTCTTCGTGCCCGTCCCAGAGGAAGAGGAGGCCCCGCCAGCAGTGGATTTGGGCGGAGCTCCCATCGTCACATCCTCAAAGTAGATTTTGTGGCCAGATTTCAAGCCGTGAAGGCAGTCGGCGGAGGATGAACACATTTGAGGGTCGGAAAGGGGGGGAGAGAGGTTGAGCATAGAATGGGGGGCAGTGGGTTACGTGGGGAAATGGTAGGGAAAAGCAGGGAGCTGACGCTGAGGTCATCATAACCCCCTCTGTAACCAAAAATAATGGATGAGGAACCACAGAGAGAGAGAGAGAGAGAGAGAGAGAGAGAGAGACTATGACAATTGACAAATGGCCATAGAGTGTTCGTTACTTTCCTTCCTCTATTTGAGAGTTCGGTCTCTGCCCCCTGCGTCCCTTCTTCCCTCCTCGTATACTCGCTGATTCCAATTCAACTATCGCGATCTTCCTCGGCCTTGTTTGTTTGGATCATTTCTAGAAAAGAATAACATCCACTTCAATATCATGAGATCTTACTGTGTTAATTGAATCAATACAAAATTATTATAAAATAAATCATTTATAAAAAAATTATATATTTTGACTTGAATAAAAATAAATAAATTAAATATAAAAGGTTAAGTATATTTTTTTTAAATTAAAATTCATTGCTATTAACATAATACTTATAAAATGAAATTGTAGACTAAGGAGAAGAGGAGAAAATACATAAAATTTCTCCATGACTCCACCCTCTCTCTCACTTAAACCGGCATGGCATAAGAATGTCATACACACAGATAACAACTCTTGTCATCAATTTCAATTCAATTTTTATATATGTAATAATTTAATTAAAAAATATTTATTGTTATTAATATCTCAAGAAAGATATTCTTTGTTGTTTCATTTATGAGTGCACAAATAAATCAAAGGAAAAATAGCAATCAAGGACCTTAGTAGTAAATTAATAGCAGTCATGAATCAATTCACTTCAAAAATGCAATGAAATTCTTTAATCCCTGACTGATATTAATTTATAAGGTCAAAAGATCAATCTGCCCCTCAAATTAAAAAGAAAAAAGAAAAGAAAAGAAACCCCCATTGTCACCGACGCCAACTGTTGGACCTCAACTTGTAGTAAGGTCGCTAGAGCCCCTTGTCGATGGCTAATCACCTGAGCTCTGGCACTGATGACATTTTGATTTAAAAAATAATTAGCTTAGATGGCCAGTGAAGAGTTTAATTCCATGAACCATGGCCACGTAAAAAGTAGGCCACCGAGCCCTTTAATTAGACATAGAAAAAAAAATACAAGTAATAAACAAGCTTCTAACTACTCTTATGTTATAACATGATAGTGTATTGTTAATTTTTGAACAGAACTTGTTTTTTATAAATATTACTTGTTAATCTGACATGGATAATTATAAATTGCGAGCTTTAAAACTCTATGTATTTTACTTATTAAAAGTCAAATGTGTTATTATTAATCACAAATAGATCGTTGTCAAAACTCGAACGGATATTTGTTAACGAAGGATTAACACATAAAATTAAGCCCGCCTTATCTGCTTTTTTAACTTGTTAAAAACAGAATATGTTGTTGTTAATTTTGAATGAATTATCATAAAAACCTAAATGTACATTTGTTGGTGAAGGACTAATACATACAATCAATTCCATTTTATTTGTTTTTCTAGCTTGCTAAAGTTTAAATGGACTATTGTTAATTTAAAATGAATTATTGTCAAGATTCGAATAGGTACTTGTAGTTGATTATTAAAAGCACAGATCTAATAGACTATCGCTTTTCTAGCTTGTTAAACCCTCGAATATACTGTTGTTAATTTAGAATGAGTTATTTTTAAAACCTGAATAGATACTAGTTGATGAAAGACTAACACATACAACTATGCTTATTTATATGCTTTTGTAGCTTGCTAAAGGCCTGAATGGACTATTGTAATTTATAATAAGTTGTTGTCAAAACATGAATATAAATTTGTTGATAAAAGACTATCATATACAATTATTCTCATCCAATCTGCTTTACTATCACATACAATTGTTCTTATCAAATGGACCGTTATTAATTTAAAATGAATTGTTGTTAAAATTTGAATGGATGCTTGCTAATAAAAGATTAACATGTACAATTATGCTTATCCTATATGCTTTTCTAACTTGTTAAAGCCAAAATAGACTATTGTTGATTTAGAATTATTTGTTACTCATACACTTGTTTCATTAGACCTATAACTTTAATCATCAATTACAAGTATATATTCGAGTTTTGATAATAACTCATTCTAAATTAACTATAATCCATTCAAGGCTTTAACAAGCTAGAAGAGTAGCTAGGATGAGCATAATTATATGTGTTAGTCTTTCATTAACAAATGTCCATCAGGTTTTAATAATAATTTATTTTAAATTAACAACAATCCATTGAGAATTTAACAAGCTAGAAAAGTAATAGTTTATTAGACATGCGCTTTTAATCATCAATTACAACTATCTATTTGGGTTTTAACAATAATTTATTCTAAATTAACAAAAGTCCATTCAAATTTTAATAAGTTAAAAAAATGGATAAGACAGGCTTAATTGTATGTGTTAGTCATTCAGCAACAAGCAAACATTTAAGTTTTCATAATAATTCATTCAAAATTAACAAATTATTCTGATTTTAATAAATTAAAAAAGTTGATATGATGGGTTTAAATGTACTTGTTAGTCTTTCATTAACAAATATCTGTTCAGGTTTTGATAATAACCTATTCGTGATTAACAATAATACATTCAGATTTTTAACAAGTAAAATGTATAAAGTTTTAAAATTTTAAATTTGTAATTATTTATGTTAAATTAACAAGTAACATTTGTAAAATAATAAGTTTTATTCATAAATTAATAACACACCGTTATGTTATAATATGAAAGAAGTTAGAAGATTGGTTTACTACTTATACATTTGTTTTTGTTATATACAATTAAAGGATTTGGTAGCTACCAAGCTGGCCAGGGTTTATGAGATTGAATCCTTATTTGGCCACCTAAATCAATTATTGTTTGAATAAAAATGTAGTTAGCACCAATGCTTTGGTGACCTGCCATCAATGACCCCATTGAAAGGAGGGGTTCTTGTGACCTTGTCATCAACGATAGTAGGCTTTTTTTATTTTATTGGATTAAGGTGTATTTTTATCTTTAAAGTATGTTTGAGAAGCATCCAACACCCTATCATTTTTGTTATAGCAATTTTGCTCTTAAAATTATTAAAAACGAGCATTTTTGCCATTTTGTCAAAATTTTAATGTTGACTGCTAGAACATTTGATAAAAAAGGTAAAAAATATTTTGTTTTAATAACTTTAGAAATAAAATTATTTCAACAAAAACGTTAAGATATTAGATTCTCCTCAAGAAATACTCCAAAAGCAAAAAAAAAACCTTTATCTTTTTTTATTTTATAATTTGGGAGATAGTTTAATTTTTTAATCTTATAAATTAATATCAACCAAGATCAAGAAGCTATAATGTAATTCTAAAGTCAATCAATTCTTGATTGATATTAATTTACTTTTGAAATTCTTGGTTGTTATTTTCTCAAAATCAAAACTGAAAGCCGATCAAATTGAGTTGTTACAAAACACAGCACTCGCTCATTACTTGCTTTTTCACGGGGAACATTGGCATCAACAACTACTAGTACAGCCTCCAGTCCCCTGGCAATAAACCCATCGGCATAGCTATCTTTTATTATTATATTTATTTTATTGGGCACTGAAATTGAATTTATCAAGAAAAATATTAAAAATAATGCCGACAAGGTTAATACATTGGGCTTCAACTTTGGACTACCTTTTGGGTCAAACTCAAGAATATGGGCCGACAAATCACATAAACCCTCCAAGGGTTGCGAGTAAGATCGTGAGGGTAAAGTGCTGGAACCGAACGAATCTTCTGTCGTGAATAAAGGGAAAATCACATGCTTGAAACTTGCGTTACCAACACTTTGAGAATTTGTTCATAATATCCATTCTTGGGAAGATTGTAACGTGCTGGCAACAAGAGTTCCTAATTTCAGGCATTAGAATATACTCACTGCCTCCATCAGTGACCCAAGATCATATGTTGTGGCCGTATAGATTTCTTGTTCTCTCTCAAACTTCGGCTCATCAACAATTAGCGTTCCAATTAAAATGCATCTCAATGTGCAAAGGGATACTCACTCGATAATACGAGTTACTTAGATCATTGGGAACACAGCAGCAGTTCCAATATTCACAATCAACCTGCAGGATTCCATTGAATATTCTCACTTCAGATTTTTACTGATATGCACAGATTTGAGGAAGGTAAGCAATAATGGACATTGCTGATATGAAATCTCAAGTAGATGTATCAACAGAAATTCTTAAAGGAAAAGCCTAAGATGATTAAACTACTTCATGATCAAACGAATTCTGTAGACTCTGCAGAGTTTCTGTAGGGATGCAAAATGTAGAGACTAGTACTATGATAGGCAATATGAAGCTTGGAAAACTCAGAAAATCAACAATTTTAAAGCAATAGCGTACAAAAGTCACAACAGATAAAACAAACAGCCATAAACAACTATACGACATCTTGTAGGATTACTTGAATCCAATTCCCATAATAAGAAATCTCCAGCAATTCATGGAGGCCAAAAACCTCACTTGCAATCTACTCCGGCTTCAGCAGCTCGACGAGGCTTGTTTTTCCGCCTGCTTCCATTTTGTCGGAACCCAACAATCTTTGTTGGGTCATCAGAGCTTGACTTGGTTCTGATGCCATTCTCTTCTTTTGTGGTATCTATTTTTTCTTTAACCTGTACAGACCTCTTCCTCTTTTTCTTATTTTCTGGTGCAAGCTGAGTTTTCATCTCATTGCTGGAAACATTACCATTCAAGATTTCACCATTTTCTCCAATCTTTTCAGTCGTGTCTACGTCTTCAGTTTCATCCTTCAGTGGCTTCTGTGGCCTTCCTCTTCTTCTGTAGGCAGGAATTCTTTCCTCTTCACCACTTCCAGTTTCCTCCTGCTTAGAAGTAACCCTCTGCTTTTTCCCCTTTCCCCTGCCTCTACCCATAGTCAAAAATAACTTTGATGAGATCAACTAAATATCTCAGGCAGATATCTGCAAAGATGAAACAATCACACTTATAGCACCAAGTGAAGATCAATCTAATACTTCGGTTGAATTTTACAGAAGAAAGGACAGAAGTGATAGCAACAATATGACAACCAAAATACTATCAAGCAAAACTATTAAAATAGTGCAGAGGTGAATCTCTGGTTAACAGTCAACATTCACAAGATTTGGGTTGCATCCACTGTTCCTAGCCTAGAATCTTCATTTTGCAACATTACAAAAAGCATCTAGCAAGAACCTAAGAGGGGAATGAAGAAAGAAACACGCCTCATTTAGAATCATTCTTCTCAGCAATAAACTTCGTCTAGCGAACTGAATCTGATCGATAAACAGAGCAAATCATGCCCACTTCATCTACGCGACCATATGGAATAACCCAAACTACTAATATTCAATATCAGGGCTCAAAAGAAACAAATGAACAGTACAGATTACAGAATCATGGGAAATTAACAATTCCAGATTCTCTTTGGTCTAGATATCCGAAAACGTGATTGCCACCTAATCCAAGTCCAATCTGAGCAAGCATTTATAACTTTTTATCCTTTTAACAATTTTGATTAAAGATTAATAATTTTGATCAGTATTCTAGCTTATTCTCAGAAACCAAAGAGACAACAAGAATTTTCAGGAATACAAAATTTTTTCCATGAAATGAAGACTTCGCATCATATAAGAGCAAGAAGCAAGAGACACTAGGAGAAATGAGGCTGACCTGGTATCTTCTATGTGCTTTCTGCATCTCCAACACGACCCATTTTATTAACCCTGATAAGACAAATCCAGAAACTGCTTGAACCCAAAAGGAAGTATAGACTTTTCTGTGAATGGCTTGAAGCAAGGCAAAACAGACACTAAAAACTGGTCAAAAATTTGATCCGAGTTAGAAATTCTGAAGACTCAGATCAGAAGCTGATGTGCTAAAATAGAAATAGAAGGCTGAAGATTGAGATTTGATTAGTGCAAGCCGGACTAGGTCTGAGAGGAGTAGCCACAGAGAGCAAGGAAGAAGACGGAGGAGGAACTAGTCAGAGCCGAAGATAGAAAATGGCGATCAGAATGTATAAAGATTTTATTTTTATTTTTTAATGTGCAAAGGCTACGGTCCTACAGCAACTTACAATTAAATAAAAAACAAAAAGTGATAGCGTTGCGTGAGTCATTAATATGCCGCAACGAAGAATTTTAGGTACACAAATTACAACCATTCCGTTGGAGATACAACAACAACAGCAGCAACAACAAAAAATTTTTATCCCATCAAATAAAATCGATTATATAGGTTACAAGATATATATTATTATATTTTATTATTTATTAAATTTTTAAAATATTATTAATTAAAACATTACGTTCAACAACTTTTAAAAATATTTTTTTAGGTCTTTCTCAATTCCTCTTAATAGCGTTCAAAGTTATATGTTTCACTCTTCTCATTGGTGACTCTCGTAATCTTTTTTATATATGTCCAAATCATTTCAAATAATTTTCTACCATTTTTCTCAATAAGTGCCATCTTCACTTTTTTACATATATGTTCATTTTGAATTTTATTTTTATATGTATGTCGTATATCCAAAAAAAATTAGGAGATAGACAGCCAAAAATAAATCAGACCCATATATTTTTTATATGAAAAATTTAGGAGTCAAATATCACGAGCTGGTTACAATCCAGTCATGTTCAAGACTCAGAAAATATGAGTTACATTCTTATCAATTTAATCAAATTTTGTTAATAAACATTTATAAAACAGTAATCCTTTCTATACTCATAATGATATTTGCGATTCGGTAAAAATTGCAGAAGAGTGAAGGGCGATCGATGATAGGAAAAGAAATATTTTCTCTGTTTCAAAAATATAAAATATTTTTAATCGAATGTCACTCCTTACTTTTAAATTAATTTTATTTTTTTATATTTATTTTTATTAAACACCCTATAATAAATATAAATTCATTATCAATAAGGATACTTTTAAAAAAAATAATTACACTTCAAAAACTAAAAATGACTTACATTTTTTATTATTTAATCTTTCAAAAAAATATTTTATAATTTTAAATAGAGGGAGTAACTAATACATAAATTTATGCATTAATCAAAAGAAAGTATTTTACAAATCTTGTGAGATGAAATTCCAAATTATTGGCCCAAAAAAAAAAAACGAGATTGCGCTTTGTCTCCGGCTCCATAACGGCGAAGACAGAGACAAAATAAAACAGGAGAAAAATATTATTGGTCACAACTTTCATATTTGAAATCGCATAATAAAGATACGCTTAAGCCCTCCTTAATTGCAACATTCTTTGAAAGATCATATATTTAATAATAGTAAATTAGAAAATTTTTCACACATTTTTTAATTTTAGTAAAATAGTTAAGAATGATTTATTATTTTATATTGGAACCAACGAGCAGAGAATACTCCCTCCATTAAAAACATAATTTATTTTCTCCAAATAAATATATTAAAAAATACAAAATATTTTTAATCTTTAAAAAGGTAATTAATAAATTTTTTAAAAATATTTTTAATAAATAAATCACTTAACCCTTCAATTTTTACTTTTTAAGGAAATATTTTTGTACTTCCTCTTTTAAAAAATAAAAAATATTTTAAGGTATAATCATGGTATTTTTTTTAAGAGTGTTTATGATAAATGAATTATTTTATATTTACTTTAAAGTAAAATATCTTATTAAATAGAGATAAATATAAAAAAATAATTTTAATTTAAAAATAATTAATTATTTTATTGTTGATAAGATTCGATTAAAAATATTTTATATTTTTTAACAATGTGAGTAAATTAAAGCAAATATTAAAAAACAATATCTATTTAAAAACAATTGGCTGATTTATTAGGGAGTATAATTCAACTATTTTATTTTATTTTTTAAGGGAGTGGATATACTTTAAGCATTATTCACATGTTCATCTTTAAAAGTTTTTTTGGATTTTTTTTTTCTTTTTAAGTTGGTGAATATCAGAGCATGAATTGAAAATTTTGGATTTAGAATGCAGTGACATCAGATACGGTCTTTTAATTCAACACAGTTGAGCTAGGGCTTAATAGCAACAGTGCTATTTGTAATAATGGCATTGGACAGATTCGAATGATTAATCACCATCTAATAATTGGAAAACAATCGGCTCTAAATTTGAAAATATTCAAAATTCCAATGGGAAGTGTAGCCGCCTCGTCTCGGGTCCCAGAGCCACTACAGATGGGTGGTGGTGGGCCAATATGTTGCTATAAAGATTACGACGTGGCCTTACCGTAGCAATTAGAATCACTGTTGCAGCTAAATATAAATCTTAGTACCGTTTGTCAAGCAAATAGCTGGTTACCAAAAAAATTTCTCCCCCACCGTCATAATAAATTACTTATTTTGCTTAGTGCTTATCAATATCTTAATTTCTGATCCACGAAACACCAATCTTCTAGCTTTCCCGTAACCATTCCTTGTACACTAGTATTATGCAGTCTCCGAGGCGAAAACGAGAACTTAAACTACAAAACAGCCCTAAAAGGCTAAGCCCCTAGTATAAATGGATCAAGCAGCAGGCCGACGAGAACAATTTCCATATAAGAAATTCAGGAAAAAAATTTCTAGCAATCTAACTTATCATCACACGTGCCATTACAAGTTCAAAAAAAAAAAAGTATACAGAACACCGCCGGTTGACTTCGGTTTGCGCATGAAATTTACCTCCACCATCCATTGTCACTCTTGCCAATATCCAAATGCCCGGGTTTAAAAATTATAGACTTTTAGGGATAGAGATAACAGAGCATAACATAAAAAGTAATGATCTGATTGGTGCCACTGGGGAAGGAGGCAAGGAGATGACCGTGTTTAGTTGAATCCAGTTATTGCTTAGGATAGTAATATGGGTAGTTGTTCATTCCCACAGGCGGGGTTGACTTCCCAGAAACAGGAGGATAAGAAACTTGCCCTTGTGCAGGATAAGGAGCAGGTGCGGTGGGGGGGCTTGGATAAGGTGCCGTGTATGATGCTACGGTCTGCGGGTAATTGTAGCCAACTTGAGGACTGCTAATATGTGTTTTGACATGCTGCATCTGCACATAACCAGGAGCCATAGGCAAGGCTGTCATTGGAACCAAGGACTGCTGACCTGTTTTACCCTTGTGGGAATCCGCATATTTTACAATTATATTCCTCCCCTGCAACCAAAGAATGCTTCAATGTCTATACAGCACAACTCTTGAAGCAAATATATGCTAAGAACTTCGATTACTACAGTTATAGGCTTATAGCCTGGGAGCTACCAATTCACAGTTCAACTAAGCAAGTAACAGTTATTGTGATCAGAGGCTCCAAAGCATCCATCAAACTATACCACAACTGCTTTGATTATTTACAGCCCAAAACATCTTCTCCCAATTAATGGAAACTTTACGCCGGAGCCATTTGATAAATTTAACAGAGAAAAAATTTCCCCCAAAAATTAACAGAAGAATCACATCTTTCCCAGTATACTTGATAAAAATAGAGTATAAAATTCCAACAATTCTGTTCTGTAAGTGAAATTGAGAGATGCATCAAGATTTAGTTAATTAAAAGCGTGTTGGCAAGTAATTCCCTTTCACCTTTCTTGATCATCTAATGCAATGACCCTTCTAGCTTTCTTGCTGCAACCCCAAGCCATTCATCTTTTTAGCTTAGCAGCAATGAGGTCCAAATGCTCAAACCACAATTAAAATAAAAATTTAAGTGTTTGCGTACCCCAAGAGTCTTTACTGGATCATCAATGGCCCTCTTTGCAGCTTCTGCAGTCTTGTATGTAACAAAGCCAAAACCACTACAAATCAAGGTAAGATTTGCAGGTTGAAGAGGGGGAAATCAGGTATTTAAACAGCTACCAAGAAATCAGAGACACTAAAATATCATATTAGGAAAAGAAAAGCATGCATCCACTCTTACCGAGATTCATTTGTATCCTTGTCATATGCAACTGAGCCTTCCTCTATTTCACCATGCCTCCCAAAAAAGTTGAGCAACGTTTCACTACTGACTTCTGGTGATAAGCTCCCAATATACAGCTTCCTCAGGGAAAGATCAGGGGCATTACTTGCCCCGCTTAGGCCCTCACAAGCTAGATTACAGACAGCCAATCTTCCCTGAAAGTCAGAAAGACCTAAAATCAACTGACGAATGTGTCAAAGAAGATGACAGACTAGAAAGTAATTTTTAGACGAAAAGAAGACAATGGCATCTAAACAATGTGTTAGAGGAATTAGCTTAAGGATAAACCACCAGCGCTTTTCATTTGAAAGCTATCCACTTTGTTCTCCTTTCATTCACAAAGTGTCATTTTGTCCACATGTTCCACTACACATATCTGCTAAATTGGGGGAAACAGAATTGGTGGATACACGTGGGTTTTTAAACTCAGACGTCTGACAAACAAAACAGAAGGTAAGGCTTAGTGATCCTTTGAAAATAATTAGAAAATGGGTGAGCCACAGGTGGGTTATCCATTATTTGACTCCTGAAAGTAAACCAAAAGACTTCTTGATACAAAGTCCTACTTTCAGGTGGCATGACTAGATTTGTTTTAAAAAACAAATGTTTCGTTTTAGGAAGGCAAGGGATTCATAAGCTCAAGCAGGAAGAATATGTAAAGATGATATTTTCCCTATAAAAATGTAGATTCATGCACTAACTCATAATACAAGACCTCAATTCAGAGCAATAAAATGGGCTTAAGCTTACATCAATTAACTTGCTTGGTGCTCCTAATGCATGATGAGTTGATTCCATATGTTTGTAAGTGATGAAACCATAACCACGTGATTTTCCTGTTGCTTTATCATAGATAACAGCCCCTTCCTCAATTTCTCCATGTTCTTGAAATGCCTGGAAGAAAATATAAATCTAATATGTAATCTATAAAAGAAGGAAGACTTCTATTTTTAAAACCGAGAGACTGTTGAAGCTCAACAGAAGGTACAAAAATGAAAATAGAAAGGATATGGCATCCCATGATTAAATCATCTTGGTTTTGTTCCTTAAGACGTGAGACAAACACAAGCATGGTACACTAAACACAATCAACAATCAGCAATGCACTCACAGCACACAAGGTTTCTGAAGTGGTATTCCAAGCCAAGCCACGAACAAAAAGCTTTCGATGGACAGGATCTGCACTTGCAATACTTTTTATTTCTTCTGCAATTGAAGGATATTGGGACCCTCTTTATGCCTCAACATGCAAACAAACACACGTGCACACGGTCAATCACACAGCACACAATTGGGAGCAATACTTTTATGGCCCATTTTCAATGAATACACAAGCAGCCATGCAGAGTGCATGCACCGCGCACTAGTAATTCAGAGATCACATATAGGCAGAGACAAGGGCACTAGGATCACGAGTGCATATCATGTGCATCCAAATATATAAAGCCATAGATGCAATCACGGCAGCCTCAGAACATTAAATGAAACTAATCTCAGTACCCTGTAATATTTGGTTGCACTATCTTATACATTGGTAGCTTACATTTACCTGTTGTTACACAAATACAATATCTAACAACGTCAAAATAAAGCGATGTTCTTACTCCATCAAAAAAATAAAATAATGTTCTCAGATGAAGGATCAACAACGCCTGGAATCAGTTAGATCATCTGGGAAACAAGGCCTTTCATTCCCGCTATTTTGTGAGTCGAGGTGGCTGGACTAGCAACAACTAAGGCTTACGGCAAGAAGCCGGTTTAGTGCTTAACATAATTCACGTGAAATGTTGTGAAACTTCAATAAGATACGAGAGTCGGTGTCAACAGCGAATCAGTAATGATGCTAATTCAGAAAGTACACGGTCGGCGCAATTATTTTTGTGCGTGGGCGAGTGTCCGGGGTGAAGCGGGCTTGTTTAAGAGTGGGCGCGCGCGGCAATCCTAAAAAGCAATCTAACAGGTCTCCTCCGAAAAAGGGTTCAAGCTCAATAAAATCTAATAAGATGCCTACGATTACAAAGTCAGTTGACTTAAACAAAGAAGAAGAAGATATTAGAGAACTGAATCCCTGGGACAGGGTTTCAGTTAGTCAAAGATAATAGATACAGAACTTGGTAGGTACGAAACATACAGTTTAGCAAGAAGATCAACGAGCTGGGGTTTGGCCAGAGGATCAAGGAGAAAGCGGAGCTCTTCCTTTGAAGAAGCATCGCCGTTACCGGCCTCTTCTAGCTTTCTCTTTTTGAAATCATCCATCTCGTCCTCGTGTCTTCCTCTCCGCTGCACCTATCTTCAGCAATGACGAATTCCAGCACGCATGGCATTAGGGCTTGCCTTTTATGGGTCCAACCCAGTCTTGTAAAGCCCAACGTTTTCCAGCGGATCTATTCTTATCTGGATTTTTTCGTGGCAAATGAGCAAATTATGATTTAACTTTAAGTGCATCATAGATCCAAATTTATTTATTGTATAAATTAGTTTTTAAAATTTTTAAAAATGATACAATATCCTTACGTTTAATAAAAATTAATTTTTATTTTTAGTTTATTATAAAATAAAAATAAATAACCTTAGAAATTTAAAAATATACCCAAAAAAAAGTTATAATGAAATATCCAAAAATTACATAAAATGATAAAATTTAATTTTGGCTAATGGAAAAAATTGAATTACACTGTCTTTAAAATTTGAAAAATAATTTATATAATAAATAAGTTCAGAGTTTATGATGTTGTTAGACTTAGAGTTCATAAGATAATTTGCTTATTTACTCTATTTTATATCACTCACTTAATTTTTTTAATGTTTAAATAAAATTACATGTTCAAATTAAAAGAGTGTTTTGCTTTGCGACAATGAAAGTAAACGAGTCTTTAGCTAAGTCATTGATAACGCCCATGCCAAAAAAAGGTAACAATGCTATTTAAAAAAAAAAAAAAGTAATAAATTTATAAGTTAAAACAATAGATTTAATTAAAATATTCTTTTTATTCCACTCCAATATATATCATATCATATCAAAGTAAATAGTCTGTTTTTAATGGAAGCAAAGCTCTCGAGCCATCTTTTTAAATTCTTATACTTTTGCCTTATTTTTATAGAAGTAAATAAATAAATACATGATAAAAGAATAAATATCACAAATCAACAAGACACGCTAGAAATTACAAACAAATAACCTCTCAATGCAATGGCAAAAATCATGGGTCATCCATGACAATGAAAAACAAAACAATTTGACTATGATCGACATAGAATATAAGAGAATCTCAATCAAATATATAAATAAGTGTAAACAATCTTCAAAGCACCAAAACAATAAGCTTACAAAATAATATGAAGAAGATGAAAAATACCCAAGCCAGGTGTTGTGGTGCAGATGGAATAATTCTCACATTAAGAAACAAATCAATGATCCAATTGTTTAAAATAGGGTCATGGCTCCGCCACTATGACTTAAAATTCAAAATTTTCAACTTTTTAACTTAAAGTCCAGCAATATAATAAATAAACAAAGTCATTTTTTAATTATTACATTACTTTTAAATTTACTAACTTTGTACAAAGAAAATTGCCCCTTTAAATCGGTATTGTGGCTTTGCCATTGTGAAACATAGGTATCCATTAATCATGTGCAAATTAATAAATGTAAACAAGACTGAGGTCTAGCTGGAGAGAACTTTAAATATCAATAGAGATGGTAATTTGAATCAAGTTCAACCAATTCGAATAAATTTAAAAAATTTTAAAATTAAATTTGGAAGTTTAGAATATTTTTATTATTATTATGGGATTATTTGGGGCTACCAAAAGAAATCCCCTAACCAGAATGGGCTTTGACAGAGTATCCAAATTCACTTTATTATTATTTATAAAATAATATAAAAATAAAATAAAAATTAAGAATATTAATTTTTAAAATAAAAGTTGAAATTGCTAAAGCATAAAAAATAAAATAAAATAATATTTAGCAATTTTGGTACTTTGAGTAATTTGAATAAATACAAAAGCTCGAGAATCAGAGAAGGATTTGACTATATAGACTTTTTTAATATGTTCAAGGTATTTTAAGTTCAATCTAAATAAGTTGTGCTTGTATTGAGCTTCTTCTGTCTGAATTACCGGCTAAATGATCATATATGTGCCCAAATCACAGGATGTATGGAGAGAATAGTATAGTCTCTGTGATGAAATCCGTTTATTTTGTCTACTGCAATTCATTGGGACTCATCAATTTGCTCACGACTGCCACCAAACTGTTCACGGTTAACAATTCTATTACTAGAGCATCACAAATTGGTCATCTATATCCTTGGTCCATCTTATTCTTTTCAAAGCCATGCTTATTTTGATCAAAGCCAAAGTCCACGAAAACTTTCTTAAATTCAATAACCTTCTGAGTTTAGGAAGAATAATACATGCCTCATGTCTACTTAACTAGCTGGTCCTTGTAGATAGTTCATATCTTCTCTGTAATGATGCTCGTCAATTTATATGTGCTGAGACATGCTATCCTCTTCTGAGGTATTTCTATAAATTGACGATTGAGAACATGGTGGGACAGTCAGCTACATACGAATCCCTTTATTTTAATAATTATCTTCATCTTAGACAATAGCTTTGCACTGCTTCAACGTCTTCGAAAAAGCAGGATCAGTTGTTGCAGGCCAAAGAATAGATTGTTATAAAATGCACTATTTTGTTGAACTTCAAGCTCTGGAGGATTTGAAAAAAACATAGTAAATTATGTTTATGAATCAACAATTAATCATTTGGCACATTTGTTACGTAAACTTTAACCTGATGTAATTTTGTTTTTATAGTTTTGCTCTTTTTATCATCATCCATCTCCTAACATAGTGTTGGAAGATGATGAAAGAGTGTATGATTTTTGGTGTCTCTGTTTTTTTTTTTGGCTTGTCCTCGTTGATTTTGAATTTGTCCTCCTAGTTTTTTAATGGCATTCAGTTTCCATTAAAAAAATTATTAATTTCTTTCTAATTCTATAGTCCTTACATGTCATTCTCCCTCATTTTCAAGAACCTTTTTCCCATATTTAAAACCAGTTTTGCTGATGTCGCAGGAAGCTCACGTGCATTGGAAATAGATTAGAAAGAATCGAGCATCTCACTACTTTCTGAGAACACAAGAATTCCATCAGCGACTCAAATATCCAGAAAACAGAATACTGCTAGGATCATGTATTGGTGTTTAATTTCTGTTTGAAATTTGGAATTAAGCCCTAATTTGTTGAAACCCGAGACCCTCGCCTCCCCACACAACTGATCAAACTTCTCTTCATGCCTTGCAAGTGTTTGTAAAAATTTATAGGAAAACTCCGAAAACATCAATTGACGAGGTCTAACGAACCTTTCAAAAGGGTATAGTTTGGAAGCACACCGATCTCTTGTACTAATCTTTCCCATAACAAAATCACGTTGTATGGATTGTCTGTTCTGCTGCTTACCATGAGCAAGCTTTGTCGGAAAACTGGAACTCCTTGTCCATAGAGAGCTAACTTATCTTGGAAGGGAAGAAAGAATTCCCAGACCCTTCAGAAGTTGATAATTCAACATCTTTATGATTATTTGATGTATCGGTATTATCATTGGCTGTGCTACTCATATTCTGAGTATTCAAGAGGCTATCACTTGTTATTTGCTGTTGATCAAACATCATCTTCAGCTGCCTCCCCTGTTCCTCAATTCTCAACTGCAATTTTCTCTGAATCTGAGCCCGCAAATTCAATTTTGAAAATGAGAGAAGATACTTATTTGAATGATACCGAAAGTTGCTCTGGAGCAGAAAATTAAAGTCACAAGTGAAGAGAATAACGGCATTGATAGGTTTACCTCTAACTGCTCATGAAGACGCCTCTGAACATCTAACTGCAGCTGAAGCGCCTCTCTTAACTGTAACCCACTGCAATGGAAGAGCATATATTAATAGATTAAGCAGTAACAGGACTTCATGCTAACATGAGAAGAAGCAAAAAGCTCAATGGAACTGCTAAATTATGAAATAAGTAGCATTACGTTTTGGTGTCAAGATGATGCACATCTTCTACATTGGGTCCGTTATCAGACTTTCCTGCAACAGGAATAAGTTTATTGAGATCCATTAAGATGATTGGGTGAACCTACTAATTGCGAAGAGAATAAGACATAATATAGGGATGGAATATTATGGATGACTTGAGAGTAAAGAAAACGGTAACAGAACAATCAGCCATATCCCAAAAGAAAGTTTAACCCTCTACTATAATCACATAAATGGGCACTTGAGTTTTCACTTTGGTCTTCAGAAAAAGTGGATCATATCTGTGATTTATTTGACAAAAATTTCTAACATATTCATGATACGGAAACGAAAATCACTTCTGCAGAGCAACATCATGTACCACAAATCTGCTCACCGTTTTGTTAAATGTACTCACATGACATGGAAGAGAAGAAGCTATCCTGCAATTATGCTATGAAATTACCTTGAGCTGGGTCTGGCATGTATTTTGCAATTCTATATTTCTGCAAGACAGGTGGGATAAAAATATGCTTCCTTGATTAGTAAAGAAACATCCCCACTCCGTAAACAAGGGACATGAGAAGAAAGCCACACCTGCAAATGACTCTTCACATGGAAGATGGTCAATCCATCGGAGTCCATCAGCTTTAATATGGCTTTTGGGGTCGCCTCTATAATCAAGCCGAAGAAGAAACAGTCAGATTTGAACATTACCACTTTCGTTGGCATCGATATTTAATGCAAGTAACTTACTTTCAGCACCTCCAAGGCGATTCACACACTCAACAAACTTCTCATGAAGATCCTGATTCCATCTTATACGTGTTTTGCTTGAGACTACTGTCCCATTAGATCCCTGGTTCCCAGAAACAGCTGACACACTCCCTTCTGATGTGAGTGATGGAGACAGCTTCTCTTGCTGAGATGATAAACTCATCTGATCAACACGTAAATTATATAAGCCAAGACCAACCTGCATAAAGACACAAGAACATGAAGGAAAAGCCGCTCAACAAGGATAAGCAAGGAATTCAGTTTGCAAAATCACTTGCCGTATGATCCTGATTTCCCTTATAAGGTGAGTTCCTCTTAACTGAGGCAGCGTCGTTAACAAACAAGCTGTGTTGTTGAATAGGAAGAAACTTGGTGGGAGTCAAATTCCCATAGGAAATTTTACTGGATTTTTCAGGCGATCTGCAGTATTGATTACTACTCAATGGAGGTTTCACCATTGCTTGCAAGGTATTGGACAATTCGAAGCTGGGGTCAGACTGATAAAGAGGGAAATCCAAGTCGTTAAGCTTGGAAAACTGAGAGGTCAAAGAGGGATTACCAAGTTGGGAATCATATTGCTGAAACCCCATGCATCGTTCTGCGGCGTAAAAAGCAGAAGCTGGAGATTCAAAACGGCTCATGATGGTGGAGGAGGATTCTGCAGGGCCTTGGTTCGGTGGTTGTTGGGCTCCTTCTCCCGCGACGGCAAGTGTTTGGCTGCAACTTCCTATATTCCAGGCCTGACTGATATCCATGAATTGACAATAACTATTACCAAACTCGGGATTAGAATCCCCGTTTAGTCCGTGGCTCTGCTGAACTTGAACTCGCCCCGGGAAATCAACCTTGTTCTTGTTCATTTACAAGCTTGTTCGGGATAGCAAAAGCTCAAGCTAGATTCTGTTGAGATTTTTATCAGAGAAGGAAAGAAGATCAGATCAGAATAATGGAGAGGCACCAATAGGGCAATGTCAAAATTCGAGCCTATGGCATAAAATTCTGAGTTGTATTCCAGAAGGCTTCAGGAATAAGACTTGAATCTAGCTGTCTAAATGCTACCATACAAGGCTATAATTTAATCTCATCAAGGACACGAAATTAGGAATGAACAATTATGAATTGATAATGTCAAAGTATGAAAACCACGGAAAACAAAAAGGGTTTTTTGTCTAACGTTGTCCTCACGTGAATTTCAAACCGAAATGCAAGAGAATCAAGAAAACTTATAAAATACAGGAAAGATACATGAATCTCAAACTGGAGGTTAGAAATTACCAGTGGACCCAACTATTTCCAGTTGATCGTCTTAATATTGGAGAATATTGTTATGGGCATCTATAGTGTAATAATTTAATGTTAGATAAGATGCCGGCATAAATTCACTCAAACAATAGATCTGCAATTATTCTCGCAATGGATTCGGATGAAATAACTTTAGCCACCCATAAATAAGTTTATTATCATTATTTAACTTATACTGCATGGACGGGCAAATCTTTTGCTCTCGATAGGGAAAAGCAAACAGAAAAATAGAAGTCTTGCCCCATCAGTGCACCTTGCAAAGTGGGAATCAGAGACAGAAATTACCAGAAAAGTGCATCTAATATTATATTCAGCCTAAAAAAGTACAGCTAGGGGGATTCCCAGTGCTGTTCACAGTTGAATAAACTAAATGGGGCTTCCATTACCAAAAGGTGAAAAGATTAAGACATGCTCAACGCATTCATATGCCTTGCAGATTTTTCTCTATATATTTATATCCCTGTTCTGTTAATTTTACGGCCTCCCTCTGAAACACCCCTTCCTTCTCAACCCCTTTGCTTTTCCAATGCCTATTTACTATACTTGTATATTGAATAAGTTGAGCTCATCGTGCTTTTTGCTTTAAGTCCCCTTTTTTTGGAGCTTGGATTTTGAAAATTAAAATGTTTTTATACAAGAGAACTTTTAAATCCGATCTCTTTAAGCCAAAAATGGGCTCAAACTTGAGCTAGTTGTTTAAGCTCATATTATATACTTTAACCTTAAAAAATATAATATTTTATACCTTTGTATTAAATTTAAATTTTAAAATTTATGTTTATACTTTAAAATTGTTATTTGTAATTTTGTATTGCTTATTTTGAATTTCAAATCATTTTAATTTTTACCTTAGAGCATAAATAAATAATACAAAGGTGAAAATTTAATTTAAAAATAAAAAAGGGGTTTTTACACCTAGCCTTAAGCCCAATCAATAAAATCTGACTTAAAAAATAATTGATTTTTAAGCAACAGGGTTTATGGGCTAAACACATATCAGCAGAGCCCATCCATTGGTGATTTTTTAAAAAAATATAATTGTATATATTATTGAGTTATATTGAGGTATTATTAAATACTTGGATCTAATTATATATAAGAGATAGCTCTATTAAAATGATATTTTTATGTATAAAATTCAAACTCTTAACTAAGTTCTTTTTACCCAATCTAACTATTGTTCGTACTTCCTCTATCTCAAATTATAAGACACTTTTAAACAAAATCTCACATACTAATAAATCTTATTAAATATATTTAACAACTTTATTTTTTCAAAATAAAAATATAAACTTTTAAACCTATCATTTAATATATTAAAAAGAGAAGGAATTGAAATTAATTATAGAAAGAGAAAATGTAATATTGGAATTGCATCATTTAATAAAACCTTAATCTACCTAAAGTGTCTTATATTTTGAGATGAAAAAATTCATTCAAAAGTGCACTCGATAATTTGAGATGCCGGGAGTATTAATTAAATCATGACAGTTAATGACAATTATGCAAATGATTCCTTCTTATCCCTTTCCTTAGTAAACATCATATATATATATATATATATATATATTGACAAAATAATGGCATTGCATGCAGCTTAATTCCGAATAAAAAAAGTCACTTGCCCTCACAATAAGAAGGAAATGCTAGAGATACATCCATGAAGTACTGGGTCAAAGTTATTAATTTCTTGTATCATTGAGAAGAGGAGTTTGCTCTTTTTTTTTTTTTTTCTTTTTTTCAATACGGATTTGTCATAACTAACAAAAACATGCGTAGGCTCAGACAGCCAATAATTAAGGTTGAATCAGATTTTACTGGAACAAGACAGTTTATTGACGATGAAGTAGTTCTTAATCCATGTAGCTTCCATGGCTATGGGTTATCAGCCTGGAAGAATCTCAATTATACACTGACACGATTAGAATAAAATTACGGCGAATCCATATATATATATATATATATATATTAAGCAACTGTCTCCTTTTTTTAATAAACAAGTCATCTAATAAGTTAAGCGGATGAGAAATAATCAAATTGAGCGCAGTTTAAAGGGAAAACACAGATAAAACTATATGAAAAGCTATTCCAGGAAAAATATTAATGGATAGTTTAATGCCATGCACAAAACTTCGCAAGATATATAATGGGTCATGATAATTGCTTTGGAAGTTCCGGACTTAATAATTAATAAATATTTTATTCAACGAGCATAGCGACGACGAGGATAAAGAAAATCATTCGGATGATAAATAAATAAAAAAACTAACGGAGTATTATCTGTTATGAAGATGCAAATAATTTTCTCGGAAGCAGTCTAAATGTCCTTATCAGCATTGATGAAATAACCAAACTAACTAATTAATGTGATTGCTGATTAGCGTTGAAGTTAAACGGCGGGGAGCAAGACTCCTCTGTAAAATATCATACCCCTAAAGCCAACAACGAATCATCCAATGCTCTTCATACTAAATTTTGGCGTTCAGATTGATTTAATTTTTGGAGAGAAACAGAGAGTGAATAAAATCATCTTATAATTACACTTAACAAGAAGACAAACAAGCCTTCTAATATTAATGATTTGAATTTATTCGAAATTATTATTTCAATCGGGAAACTGTGTGCATTCAATTGAATAAACAGAGGTGTTCACACTCTGGAAAGTTTCAGCTCCCACTCTTGTATGCGTAATCTAAATTGTTCAAAATCTTGAAGGCCTTTTTTATTTTCTTTGTAAATAAATTTGTTTGAGAAGGGGAAAGAGGGCTAAAACATGCACAGACGTATAATTGGTTGTGAACTTATGGTGATCACAAGTTGCTAAATTTGATGTGATGTGAGCTAATATGAAGCTAGCTGATTGTAAATTTTTAAAAAAAAATTAAGGCCGGAGGAAATAGTAACTCTTATCTTAAAAAAAAAAATTGTAGGCTTTCTACTGGTAACAAAACTGTACAAATTAAAATCATCATAAATTATGCCTTGAATCGTCAACTCCCCTCACCTCTTTTTTTTCAACAAAAAAAAAAAAGGAAAGAGAGAAAGAGAGAGAAGGTCTTGAATATTATAGGCAGTGTTAGGTTTGGAGAAGAGAGTGTTTTAATATTAAATTTTATTGGAAGAGAGTCGAGGGAAGGGATTTTTAATGATCATTTGTTTGGTTAAAAAAGGAAAGGGAGGGAAGGTAATAAATAATCTATTATTATATATATTTATCTCCTTGTATGAAAGATTTTTTTTTTACCTTCTCATATAAATATTCATTTGCCATTTATTTTTTCCTTTTAGTACATATCAACAAAATAACTTACTGTTATACCATGCAGATAAGGACCAGCTGGCAACATTATTTTGTTATCAATCCAAGAAAATTCAACATAATAAATATTGTTCTTTAGTAATGATCTGTGAGGACTAAGGAGGGCTTCAGAGCCAATAATAATAATAATAATAATAACAATAGCAAGAGGAGTAGAGGGAAATGACGGAAAGCTCAGTGTACAAAAAAGAAATTAAATGGGTCTATCAAATTAAATGTGCAGGCAAGAGTGACAAAAATGCAACAATGGGACGAGGACGCTCGAAGGGCAAGAGTGATGAGGAACGTGGAGCGCATGAGGCATTATGAGAGCAAGAGGGAGGGGAGGAGTGATAGTTTGATGCAAGGTGAAAATGGAAGTGATTAACTTAGCTGTGGATAGTTGTGGAATATAGCAAAATTAATGAGGGCAAATTAGTTATAAATTTTGTCTCATTTCAAAAAAACCTCAAGTCAGAGGGAGCCAAAACAAGAAGAGGGGAGGGGAAATTTTGGCTCTCCTTTCCTCCAAAATTTCTCAACTAAATACACCTTAAATTCCTCAAAAAAAACCTCAATTTGGAGGAAGTCAAAATGAGGAGGGCGAGGAAAAATTTTGGCTCTCATTCTTTCCGAAATTTCTTAATCAAATGAGGGTCTCTCTCCTCTCCTTCTCTCCAAAATTTTTCAACCAAACGCGCTTTAAATGTATGACAAGGGATAAAGAATAGATGTTTGGCAACAATGAGAAATATTCATTCAAATCAGCAGCAAAAAACCAGAACCAGCAATAGAGTAGCAGCAAGCCAACAGCAGCAAGGAAAGGGAAAAACTAGCAACATCCAAATGAAAAGAAAACTAAAAGAGAAAAATTAAAGTATAACTCTACCCTTAAAATTTTCATGCAAACGTACCTCACATTCTCAAGGTTTTTGTTTTTTTTTTGGTGCAATTTTGCCCCAATTTTTCTCAAAATGATACAATGTCACCTTGGAATAACAAATCTAGACTTTGACCATTAGTTTGACCTTGATTTGTTGTGTGACAGCCACGATGGCGTCCATTTTGAAAACTAAAAAGAAAAATAACACATGGTGCCTCTTCATTTTTGATAATAATAAAAAAACAATGTTCCTCTTCATGCTTTCAGATATGAACGATAGAGGAGGAGAATGACTGAAGAGCTGAGGAGATGAGATGGAAGAACACAAACGACGGTGTTAAGGAGGTTGTCACGGCCGTAACAGTCGAGGCCGAGGCAAGCTTCACTAAAAGATCTGAAAGAACAGAAACCAATGTCAATTTTGAAGCTTTGCCTCCTGATCATCCTTCTTTTCCCTTCCTCTTCTTGCAATCACGGCAATGATGGCAAGCTCTTCGCAGCTCCTCAAGGAACAGCTAGGATTTTAATCAGGGGACAAGGGATAAAATATATTAAACACGTGAATTAGTAAAAGTCCAGAGTAGAAATCAGTGGTGCCTAGCATACTTGCATGCATGCATGGATTATCGTAGTAGAAGTTGTCATGATTTGATTTGTAATATTGGAAGAACGAGCATTTCATATTGTAATATCTCCTCAATCCCAAAGAGTTGGCTCATGCATCTTATAGTGATTTGCTAGCAGC